GTTTACTGAACAGACAAGAATGATTTCTTTGACTTGGATTTTATTTACCTGTAAATTAGTTTGTTTACACTTTATTCACAAATTATTTAAAGGTCAACGAAAATATCAGACAATCTGACTTTCAGAAGTCTTCATATGGTAAAGCCAGGTCTGAGTTTGGGCAAAGAACAAGAGCATTTTTTAATATGCAGTCAATTGCCTTTATATTTTATATTTTAATGCCTAGATGTATCCTTACAACTTTTCAACATTAATAACTGTCAATACAACGGATATTTTTTTTTTGTATCACTTGCACATACATGTAAAGGTGACATCAATGATCATTAAAAATGGAGAGCTGAAAAAATGTAAAGCAACATCTCACACACAAAATTAATCCCTGTATTAAAGTTTATGCTAATATAGTTCAATTAAAGTCCAGGTTCTCTTTATGCAATCCCCCTCCCCAATTTTGGAAGGGGTACAATTCTTCATTAAAACAAACTGTAAATCTTCCAATCAATACATGCTCTAATACAAAATTGATTCTATGGAGCTATAAACTCAATCAAACCCATTTTCTTTTTTTTTTGGCAATACAATATCAATATGTGACTGTATGGATGGATTATATTTGAAGGTATCATGATGCATTGTCCCCACACAAGAAATCTTTGATCTTTGACTTACTAGGTAAGGTAGACATGAAGATTTCCCTGACTGCCATGAACTCCTCCTCTGGTCCAATGTCTGCCGCTCCAAACTGGTCTCTCTCTGGCCACACCTCTCTACAAAACACCATTACATTAGATAATTAATATCATTAAGTACAATTATATTAGATAGTAACTTAACAGGGTGTCTTCTACCTATTCCTACTTTTTAAAAATCCCAATTCCACCTTTTCCCACTTGCAAATAACAATAGATGTTTAGATAGTTAATTTATTTTTAACAGTAACTAGACTAATTACATCTGCTCTTTAGATTTACCTGTATTTTGTACATTTTAAGACAGAAAATAATGAATACATCTATGAGAAAATATGATTTATTTTCGGATTTTTGAAATAATAAAAAGGTCTTACAAGAAAAAGCAACTTAATATCTTAATTTAAGAACATAAAATAAAGAGATTTATTGAAAAAAGCATTCAAATGGGTGGATTTTTTAATGAATATATTAACGGAGAAAAATATAATTTAATTTTTTACAAAATACATTTTTTCTTTCAAATATTAGAAAAAAGTCTGATTTATAATTTAATAAAGCAAATATACTTGTCCTCTATTCCAATAGGGTTCATTAATCATTGTCTGTACAGTATTTATATGTTTTCATGGTTAATTATTTGTTTACACAAAAATTCCACCTATTCCCACGTAAAATCTTACCTTTTTCTACCTGATTTTCGAAAAGTGGGAATAGGTAGAATTTAACCACTTAACATCAGCTGTTTACAAGTCACTTAACCGTTAATTTTGAATATAAGCTGGTTACAAAACTATCCAACCCACTATATACTGTATATACATGTATAATGTTAGCTGTTAGGTTTTAAGATACATGTATCAAATATTGGAAATTTCATATGTTATTTGTATTCTAATAAAGGTCATCTACAAATATCATGCTAAGACTGACAGCTTTTGAATTAGTAGTCCAATACCTTGCTGCCCTCAGTAGAGCCAGTGCTTCTCCAGGGAGTTTATCTCTCAAAGCATCCTGTATACGAATCATGGCATCAACCCTGTAATATAAATCGTAGAATCATGTATCATGCAGAAGGTCAAAGCTGAATGTAGTCAAAAAATGTTAATATTTTTAGGAAAGTTTCTAGGTGTGAAGCCAATAAAGACATACATTTGAAAAAAATATTTGAAAACAAATTAGGAATCTCATTGAAGACCATTTCAGTCCAGAGTATAGTTTTGTTAATCTACAATGTATGATGAAAATACATGAAATTTACTCACGAGTGCAAAAACTATACATGATCCAAATCATTTACATCAAGTAACTTAACACAACCATTGAAAATGTAAAAGAATTTCTTGGTTAAGCTGATATTTCCCTACCTCTGTTGGTCAATATCTACTTCTGAAGCAGCATCAAAAGGAGAGACATCTGTTGGCAGTTCTCCTCTTCCCTGAATCAAGGAAGATAACTCTCCCGAAATATCATCCCATTTGTCCTCCAGCTCCTCTGGAGTAGGCTCCCTTGGTAGGTCTGGGGCAGCTGGAAATAAATAATTAATCAGGTATTCAATGCCAATGTGTACTTTAATAGATCCCTTACTGTTTTTGACATACTTGACAAATTCAAGTTGGACAATTAAAGCAACAATAAATCATCTCTTGCATTTCCTGTATCATAAATCATGAGGTGTGCATTTACAGCATTTAACAAAACTTTCCATTTTGTAACCATTCCTTGTTTTACATCTTATTTTACAGAACAATCTAGAATAGTAGAAAAGCTCTTTTTTTCTTCAATAGTATCCTTCAATTTAAATATTCATATACTATTCACCTCTTGGATTTGACTTCTTTTTCCTTTTGCTTTTCTTCTTTTGAACAACAAGATGGGAATTTCCTTTTGTCATTTTTTCCAACATCTTCAGAAAAAGATGAGTTGATTCCACTAGATCCTTCAGGTATGTTCTTTAAAGCAGAAAAAGTTTAAATAATAATCTTCAAAATCTTAACACAGACACTACTTTTTAAAGTTTAAAGCAGAAATACTTGCAGAAAAATCATTACATATGTGAATGCAATATTAATACTGATTTTCTTTCAGGTTTTTCATGCTGACATATACATTTATGTACCTTGACTGAGTGCTTTCATTAAACTTCCTCAATAATGTTAAGAAAGTATCTCGGAACTCCATCATGTAAAATATATTACCTGGAAAAAAAACGTAATTATAACTTAGATGTAAATGTTTAAAACACTTCACAGGGACAAGAAAACCTTTCATTATTTATAAAACCATTAAATAATTGACTTACTTTTGATGACCTTTGCACTCTCCATCAGCTGACTGTTGCCTGACCAGTCCATGGAGTCCAAGGTCAAAAGTAACTCCTGATAGGCCTTCAGAGCAAGGTGAACCCTGCAAAAGAAAAATTTTAAGGTTTAAATTTAGATGTGTTGATGGAATGAGTGTGCCCCCATGGATGCAATTATTTTAAAGAGAAACTGTTGCAAATCTTTATTCTTCATTGCAATGTCTGACCTTTTAGCCCAGGTTTTGGCCTCTTTCTTCTCCATCATGATCATCTCATAGTACTGGAATAGCTGTACCTGGATGTAGTGGAAGGTGGGCACAGACATGGTCTCACTGAAAAACACCAAAAACTAACTACTTGTTATCATAATAACTCAACATCAAGTGGTCTTTTTATGAAAGATTATTGGCAAAACAATGGCCTAATCTAATATATAAATTATAGTTTTACTCCTTCGTACACAGATGTCCTCATAGTTACAAAAGAATTTACCTTTGGGATAAAACTTATGTGAATTCTGACAAAAGCTACTGCTCACCTAACGAGTTCCACCTGCTTGCTGTGTAGTCTACAGAACTCCATGAAGAACCTCATGGCCCATAAATAATAGGTCTCGTCATGATCCTGCGCCTTCTCTCTGTTCAGAATGTCCTTGACAGCGTACATTAGTGGATTATAACAACTCTCTAGAAACTGGACACAAAATTCCTTCAAACCCAATCGGATACTCAGGGTAGATCGTCGAGTCACTTCCTGGTCTTTGATTGGTTGACGATTTTTGGCGATCTTCTTTGGTTTCTTGTTGATGTCAAACGTAAGGTTAGAGACGTCTTTCTGGTTTTTGTGGAAGATGACATCCCTGTCACTGATTGACTTCATATTCTGAACTACGTAAGTTCCCCCAAAACGGGAATGTCTGCAAGTAGAGACAAAAAGATAAACAGTTTCATTACATCTTTTGAGTTTTTAAATATTCAACAAATTTTCAATAAGTTTTTTCTTGGAAGGGGGTCTTTTAATTTTCTGTCAACTTGTATTTTTATACCTAGTGCTAAATTTCCTCATGTTGGCTCTCTTCTGAGCTTTTTCCTGCTCTAAAACCATCTGAAGCTCCCTGAAATATACATGTACACCAACTTTCAACCTTGAGACATGTTATCAATATACAATTCAAAGACTGTTGTTGTACCAAGCCACCAAAATTGAAAAAAAAAATTCCAATTAGCTTACCAAACTACAGAGCTTTATTTCATGAGTACCGTAATTTTCGGATAATAGGTCGATGGGGTATATAGGTCGAAAGGCTCATTTTCAGCCTTAATTTTTGAAAAATCCTAAGATAGGACGAACTTACTATATAGGACGAGGCTTTGTTTCCCGTTTTCTAAAGATTCTTACGCAGATACAACGTATCAGAACAGGTAAACCTCTAAAATTACCGGGGTAATTCCGTGACATGAACGTATCAAGAAAATAAACAGGTATTTTAATGAGTACAGCATTTAAATAAAGTTTTTAAAAAAACAAATGTAGTTAAAACTTCTTTGAATTGTGTTACTACTTATTTCTCTCCAACTTGCCTGTTCAATGCCTCCGTAGTTTCATACTGTTGTTAAACCACAGGCATAAATAACACGTAAATACGTTCTTATTTTACAGCTATAATTCGGGAAATACCCGAGATCAAAGAATAATAATTCTGATTTCAGAACAACTTGGACACATTCCTAATATATTTTATTCAGACATTATTTACCGGTGGACGACAATTGCTTCGATGTCCGCCAATTTCATTTTTGTTCTTCAGGGATTTGCTAAAACCCGCAAACGACCATTGAATGTATATACATGTATAAAGCAACAGTAAAGAATTGAAATAATATTACCACGCTATAAGTTTAATTTATAAATTTAATTGAGAGTACCGGTACATTCACAATTTGACAGTCATTATGAATTTCATGGCTTTGTTTGTTAAATGATGTGTAACACATATACCCTATAACGGCACGTGGATTTGCTAATCATGCCCTGCGGGTATTAAACCAACACAGATGTTAAAACCTTTGCGTGTACACACAGTGTAAATCCTTTTATCTGTCAGACAATTAATTCTGTTAGAAGCCAATCTTTGTATAGCGGTAATTCAGTGTACTTCTTGTGTACGAAGATGCTTTTCCGTATTTCAAATTTTGATATGGTTGTGGTTTTACTTTTAGTAAACGGTAGCGACTTCCTAACTTCACAAGATGGCTACCGCATGATGGCAATGGATAACACGTTGAGGAATTATTTACTTCATGAAGCACAGTTTTTTCCTTTGTCATCAACGGATATTTAATGGAATTTATTTTGTAAGAAAGCTATAGAATAAATATTTTATTGTTTACCTGGGCATTAATTTTTCTGCGTAAAATAATGAAAAAAGTTATGAAAGTGGCACAGATTTGCCTTGAAATTGACGTAAATTTTATTGATTGTGGGGCATTTTTCGTAAACTTGAGCCTTAGAAAGGTCGAATTCGTATATTGGGCGACCCCAGCGGTTCTGAGAAAAAAAGTATCGACCTATTATCGGAAAATTACGGTAGTGAAGTTAACATATAATACCTCTCATCCTTTTCTTTCTCTGTCATAGACCTGCTCACACCTGCAGTTGCCAACATATCTGGAGTCTATAGTCAAATAGTTTAATATATAAAAATATTCCTTAGGCATATGTAAATTTAAAAAATTATAGAACATCAATCATTGTAAGTCTATAGAGAGCAGAACTTGCTGCAGAATTGAATTACCTGTTCCCTGAACATCAGAGACACAATCTCTAAAACATGCATAGAGAAATTTCTTTCATCCTCTGAGCTGGCAATGTACAACAAGAGATCCTCCAAACCACTGCAATGGATGGCCCTAAAATATTCCAGTTAAATTATTATAAAATTTGTTTCTGAAAACAATCATGCATTGTAAAATGATGCCATTCTCAAAACATAGGTAATCAGAGATTACAGAGCTCACCTCAACGAATGTTGTCTTTAAGTAAGGCAAAGTCACACAATTAACCAACAAAAAGTATACATTCCAAAAATGAAAATATTTTTAAAAGCAATTTTGATCTGATACTTTGAAATAGACCTACATAAAAAATTTAAACTACTTCTTCTTCATGAAAATGTAATGAAAATCCAGCATCTGAAGCAAATTTGAGAGTTTTCATCTCTTGATGCAGCATTTGTGCAAGTTTGGTTTATACAATATTATATAAGCCTTATAGTTTTTGGTAATAGACCTGCAACCATAACTTTTACCTTGTCTATTATCTGAAAAATGTATGTCCAATTCAGCATCCGAAGCAAGTCCATTAGTGTGCATCCTTAGATGTATCATCCATGCAAGTTTGCTCATTATAGGGCTCATAGTTTATTGGAAATGAAACATGCATCAAAACTAACATTTTCACTCATCCACAAAAAGTAGGTCAGATTCAGCATCCGAAGCAAGCCTGGAAGTATGCATCCTTAGATGTATCATCTATGCAAGATTGGTCATTAAAGAACTCATAGTTCCTTGGAAATGAAACCTGCACCAAAAACTTTTAACTAATCACTCAACCGGAAAATGTAGGTCAGATTCAGCATCCGAAGCAAGCCTGGTAGTATGCATCCTTAGATGTATCATCCATGCAAGTTTGGTCAACATAGGGCTTAAAGTTACTTGGAAATGAAACCTGCACCAACAACTTTAACCTGTTCGCTCAACTGGAAAATGTAGGTCAGATTCAGCATCCGAAGCAAGCCCGGTAGTATGCATCCTTAGATGTATCATCCATGCAAGTTTGGTCAACATAGGGCTTATAGTTACTTTGAAATGAAACCTGCACCAAAAACTTTAACCTGTTCACTCAACTGGAAAATGTAGGTCAGATTCAGCATCCGAAGCAAGCCCGGTAGTATGCATCCTTAGATGTATCATCCATGCAACTTTGGTCAACATAGGGCTTATAGTTACTTGGAAATGAAACCTGCACCAAAATTTTAACCTGTTCACTCAACTGGAAAATGTAGGTCAGATTCAGCATCCGAAGCAAGCCTGGTAGTATGCATCCTTAGATGTATCATCCATGCAAGTTTGGTCAACATAGGGCTTAAAGTTACTTGCAAATGAAACCTGCACCAACAACTTTAACCTGTTCGCTCAACTGGAAAATGTAGGTCAGATTCAGCATCTGAAGCAAGCACGGTAGTATGCATCCTTAGATGTATCATCCATGCAACTTTGGTCAACATAGGGCTTATAGTTACTTGGAAATGAAACCTACACCAAAAACTTTAACCTGTTCACTCAACCGGAAAATGTAGGTTAGATTCAGCATCCGAAGCAAGCCCGGTAGTATGCATCCTTAGATGTATCATCCTGCAAGTTTGGTCAACATAGGGCTTATAGTTACTTGGAAATGAAACCTGCACCAAAATTTTAACCTGTTCACTCAACCGGAAAATGTAGGTCAGATTCAGCATCCGAAGCAAGCCCGGTAGTATGCATCCTTAGATGTATCATCCATGCAAGTTTGGTCAACATAGGGCTTATAGTTACTTGGAAATGAAACCTGCACCAAAAACTTTAACCTGTTCACTCAACCGGAAAATGTAGGTCAGATTCAGCATCCGAAGCAAGCCCGGTAGTATGCATCCTTAGATGTATCATCCATGCAAGTTTGGTCAACATAGGGCTTATAGTTACTTGGAAATGAAACCTGCACCAAAAACTTTAACCTGTTCACTCAACCGGATAATGTAGGTCAGATTCAGCATCTGAAGCAAGCCCGGTAGTATGCATCCTTAGATGTATCATCCATGCAAGTTTGGTCAACATAGGGCTTATAGTTACTTGGAAATGAAACCTACACCAAAAACTTTAACCTGTTCACTCAACCGGAAAATGTAGGTCAGATTCTGCATCCGAAGCAAGCACGGTAGTATGCATCCTTAGATGTATCATCCATGCAAGTTTGGTCAACATAGGGCTTATAGTTACTTGGAAATGAAACCCACACCAAAAACTGCACCAAAAATGTTAACCTGCTCCAAAAACATTAACCTGGTAATTCCTTTGCTGAAATTGCAGCATCTGAAACTTTCTCTGGTACAATAAAACACACTAAAACCATCTTCCATGCATGTCTAATCAGTATAGGACACAGAAGTAATTAAAAAGAAAACTGCTCCAAAAAACTTAACCTTAACCTGGGACGCCGACGCCGACACCGACGCCGAGGGTATCACATAAGCTCCCCCCAACTTCGTTGAGGTGAGCTAAAAATGGTTTTCATTCTTACAGAATGTTTTGCTGTCTTACTGCATATTTAAAACATTGTAAAATTGCATTATTTGAAAAGATGTAGCATACTCCAGCAAAAATTAAATACCAGAGAGCTTTTCAAGATTTAATTCAAGAAATCTAAAATCTGTCAATTATTAAGCACTAACTCAAAATAAAGCGACACATTTGGATTTAGTAGCTTCAAAATCTTCAGGTGTCTCTTAGAAAAAAAATCTATTTGCTAAGCAAATATAAGGAATGTACATTAAACTACATGTATGTGTTTTCATGAGATATATCTTGTTTTTAACCTGAATATAAAGTCTTGAGTTAAAAGCACTCAAGTTTTTTATCACAGAAAAGTGTTGCCAGACAGATGGATAATTTTTGCTGGGCACCTGCCTTAAATGCAATGTAATATACATGTAATTACCAAATGATTTGATCATGGACACTGGCATCATCATCTGTCCTCTGTAAAAATAAAATAAAATACTTTTAATGTTTACATTGATTTATATTGCAATTTTTTAGATAAACTTGAGTGTACATCTGTTTCAGGTCTATTACCTCTTTCATATGTTTACAGAGTACATTCTTATCTACAAATACATGTATCTTAATTCTGGAGACTAACCTGTTCTCGTTCCATGTTGGGAGGAACGTGGAGGACATTTCTGATGAGGATCAACATTCTCTCTATGAGGAGTCGGTCCTCCTCTTGGCGATGTTCCCAGTCCTGAAAATAAAATACAGTTTTAAAATTTATTTTGGATATGTAAAATACATTAATGTATATGAGAAATGATATGGACATTTTGGAAGCTTGATACTTTTTTGTTTTACTATTTTCATGATCATTATACATAAGTGAGGACTGGTTTTAAGAAACTGTTAACATCTTTTAAATGAATAATTATCTTCTTCACCCTTATAAATATATAAACTGAAACGAACATTTTCAAAAAAAATTTTATGTTACCAATTTTAAAAGATCTCCTAGTTTTCTTGTCAAAACACCAAACAATTCTTCATCCACAAAAACCTGTCATTGGAAAAAAAGATGTTACATACTTAAAACTTCATTTCAAGACATGAAACACAAAATCACTTTCCAACAGATTAACTTCAAAAAGAAATGTAAGAACTGTTTCATAGATGCTGCAATTTGAACTAGACCTCCTTGTAATCTTGTAGCATGGATTCTATCTCCAGGTAATGATTCCTCAGGGTTTTGTCTTCTGGGATATGGTTATTGAAGCACAGAACGGCTGGCTGGGTCAAGTTAACCAATAACCTAGAAAACAAATATTCGTTAAAACCCACAACACTGAACATTTGAAACACTTGTTTTAGAATATCAACATTGATTTCAACAGTTTTAAAGTCCTTCATTAGATTAGAAATGTCTCTCTTTTCCTGGGAAGGTTTTTCCTGGCTCCTTATGACTTGATCATTATTTTACCTGATGACGGCCTCGAACAGAACTCTGTCTGTGTGGTACTGCTTCAGTATGGGGACAATGTCCTTCTGCAGAATACAGCCCTCCCCGAGCTGTCTCCTGATATTACATGTCTCATCCTCTCTTTTCAAGAAACGAATGAGATCCTTGATTGTCTCTAGAAATTCCAAGGTAAATAGTCAACAATTTAGATGGATGAATAACAATGCATATATATTCTTGACCTGTCTATTTCAAAAGAAATTCAAACATTTTTATAGTGAACACACTTACATTATAATGAATTGATGCTTAAAGGGAAGTAATTTTCATTCCGCATGACATCAAAATATAAACTTAATAGATATAACAAGATTAAAACAAAGAAAAAAATTTCCTAACCTCAGTCAGATACATCAAGATGAAAAATTTGATCTGGTGTCTCTACAACAGGTCCGACACAATGTCTTGATTAAGCTATATAGCTTGATTTAGCTATATAGCTTTATTAAGCTATTCGGAATAGCTTGATTAAGCTATTTCATCACAATTTTTTCTCAAATGTTTTATTTTTTAGCATGTGCAAAAAGTCGTACCTTGGTGCAGGGAAATATTAAACTTTGAACTCTTCTTACAATGCATGTAAAAATCACTCACCAAATTGCGTCTCCTTGAGAGACTTTGTACTCAAATTTTTAAAAGTTTGGGGGCTATTGATGAGTGACCACACAGTTATTTCTTGAATGAAATTATAAAGGAGGTCAGTTAGGCCTAGAAAAGAAATATGTTTGTTTCCGCTTTCCCGACCGACCCTAATTTATAGTGCCGACCCTAAGGCCAGCATTTTTTTATTTTTAGGTTTACAAACCCGCCGCTCAGGTTTTTGAATTTTCAGAAAAAAAATAAAATTGAGAAAAACAGATTTTTTTCTTTCCGATGTCAAATTTGAGTCGGGATCGAGATTTCAAATTTACGAACTCGTACTTCCGGTTTTAAAAAACATGGCGGGTAATAAAGGGAGATTTGTGTCAAATCCATAGCAGCACTAAAGCTTGGTTTAATGTAAATATTTATCGATAGGAGTGCCATTTAAAACATTTAACCCGTTCAGAGAACAATAAAATGCTGACGACTTTGTTGCAAAGTGACATGTTGGTGAGATAATTATGTATCCGTATTCAAAAGTAACTGTCTTTAATTGTAAATTATTTTCCTCCCACAGGTTTAAAACTGCCCATGGTAGCTATTGTCAGAGACATTGTTTAGGTTTCTGTCATAACTTACAGTCTTAGCATCATTCTTCAGAAAAGGGTCGCTTATGCATCAGATGTAATGAATAAAACTATGGGAGAAGTTAAGTCCATTTGAGGAAGAAATAAACAATAGCCTAAAGGAATAAAATATTTCAACTATTTAAAAACAAGAATATACAAATATATACAGGCATGTAGTATCGTTTATGGCAGCCAGAAAAATTATTTTACACTTAATTGAAAAAAATTCCACCCTACTCCTCAATACTCATTGGGAATACTCCCTGTCTGTTTTATGAAAGGAATTATTACTTTTATAGCTCTCGAGTATATTAATATTTTAGAATGAATTTCTAACTAACACACATTGAAAACAAAAATGAAGATATATAAAAAGAGATTTAAAAAATTGATTTTTTTTTTAAATCTGTATTTTGTCCAATATCAAAAGATTTATATCACTGCCCCCAACTGGTAGATGATGAAATAAACAATTAAAGGTTGTATTTTCCCCTTTGTAACCCTTATGTGTCCAGTGGCAAGAAGCCTGTTAGGAGAGCATTAAAAAAGAAGCAAAAATTAATGTAGAAAAGTCGATAATGTATCCAAAATATAATTTTATTTTTTTTTTATTTCCTCCTCCTACGGGACTTTTTCATTCTGATGTTCGTAAACCTAAAAATAAAAAAATGCTGGCCTAAATATTTTTTTAATGCTTTTGTCCCATGATGTGCAAGATTTCAACCAGGGAATTATAGCCTCCAACTTTGCAAGCTTTTCAAGGCAGAAAGAAGTTTGGGTCACCTTTATATTATGTTAAGTCACAGTAATGCTTGAAAACACCATTTCTTTTGTCATTAATGTTACTTCTATACACGTTTTAATTAAAGAAGCAAAAAATTTTTTTTCAAAAAAAAAAAAAATTGCCTACCTACCTACCCTATATTTTTTCAGCCTGAAAGCGGAAACAAACATATTTTTTTCTAGGCCTTATAGCCAACAAGATAATTGATTGGTAACAGTTCAACACAATGAGAAGCAATCATACTTATCCACGCCTCACAGCACTCAATAGGACACTTTCCACCAGTGCAGTTACCCAAACAATGGAAATTCATCTTTTGCTTAAAAGTATTCAACAACAGCAATGTTAGAACTTTCTATGATTTAGGTTGTTTTTTTGATAGCCCAAAGTACATATATGAATAGTCAAATACTTGCGACTTTTTGTTTATTTCTCACTAAAAACATTTTTGTTAAAAACTGCATATAAATAGCTTTATTAAGCTATTTTAAATAGCTTAATAAAGCTATTTTAAATAGCTTAATAAAGCTATTTACCATATTTGGGGGAATACAATACGCAATTTTTTCCTAAAATAAATTTCTGTGAGAAAGGGATGCATATTTTACATCACAATGGGATTTTGATAAGTTTTTCTTTCAGGTGAAACACGGCTATCATACGTACATACCGTAGTATTACCAAGAGACATATACAACTTCTTTTGTTTATTGTCATTTTTAAACTTCGGAAAGTTATTGTTGGAAGGTATGCTTGTTAAAAATAACACTTTCATAATATTTTGATACTAAAATGACATGAAAAAGCAAGTTAAAATAATTTGAGCTCCATGTTTACAGAGTTCTTAAAATCTTTTTTCCACTGTCAGTCATTTGGACTGACTGCCACAGGGAGTTTGTCGGTCCAGACAGATTTTTATCCGTCCAACAAAATAAACATAATTTTAAGAAGATTAAAACTGTATTTGAATTTTATTATCATTACATTTCGCACCCTCCATCATATACACACTGCATACTTCATGCGAATTTGATCATCGTATAACAAATTTTGTTGAATTCTCGTGGGAGGTCAATTTTCTTCAAAAGTTTTTAATCTAGTTCAATTTTTCTCAACCGGCTAACACCTTATCACCGTCAAAAACTTGTTAAAACAATTAATCAATCATAGTTTGGTACTTGCATTCATCGAAGAAGCCATGAGATACTGAAAAGCGTTTAACAGATTATGATCGGTCGGTTATAGGGAATTCGTACGAAATTTAGTTGGATTTTCGCAAGTTGCTTTCTGAACATCTACTGGTCATTTGGACTGACACAGAACGTAAAGTGATCGGTCCTTGGTTGTTTTTATCGGTCTTGCCGACAGGACCGAAAGATTTCAAGAACTCTGTGTTTATCGTCTCCGTGTAGGCAGCCATTACCGATGCTATTTTAAGACGTTAACACATTCCTTTGTCACGTGCTTCCGTAATCATAGTACATATGCAGCTTATCTGCCTGACAAAGTAATAAGTCATTTTTTAATGAAATACAATAAAATAAAATTTTTATTTTAGTTTTTAAATAACTCAGTGAAAATTCACTGCAACACAAGCACCCCTTTATACGTCCCAATGAAAGGAAGCCAATGTCGTGACACACGTGCACTGGTCACTTGATAATTACCTCTCAACACCCGTTACACCCCTCCGGGCAATTAATTGTCTACCGACTCCAAAGCAATGTTTCTACAGTTATAGCGATGATTATTTTCACTGTCCTTAATTGCTTTGGTTATTTTCTTTGTTAAAAAGCGGGGGTCGGTTTGTAACCTTTCGTATGTGTGAGCGTGTGTTGATTACGACACATTAAACAATTAAACACTTGTTAAATGTAATTTTACCTTATCTTATACTTATCGAACCCTTGTTTAAATAATTGAGATTTAACAGATTAAATATGAAGTAAGCTAAAACTTAAGTGTTATCATTTATTCATGCTCTGTAGAAAATAAAATATCCGCGACGATTCAGAAGAGGAAAATCGTAGTCTACTTAATTTTTAAAATACTTTGATGTTTCAATTTCTTTTTTCAACATGATTACCTCGAACCAAAATTAAATATGACAACTGTTTAAACTTGCAACAATATCTCATGCTTTGTTGATATAAAATTATTTCACCAAAGAATTATATGGCCACTTATTATTTCAAAATCACCGTATGCTTAAAAAATAAATTCTGTTAACACCTTTACGCAACATTATCTTGTGCTTTGTTGAAATTCATGAATAAATAATTTTCTCCAGATTGCCGCAATATGGAAATTGCAGATTAAGAAAAATATATAAATGTATTTGAAAAAAAATGTGTGTTCTGTAAATTTTTGACACTTAATCTTCGCGCCGATTTTCGTTACAAACTACCGCGATTTTCAAAGTTCAGAACATCGTTTGGTAAAATTTTCTGTTGCGTATAATACATCCAAACTGCATTTTTTCCCCCAGTTCCAGACACAAAAAGGGGGGTGCGTATTTTACATCAATGCATATTATACTCGGCCAAATACGGTAGCTTTATAAAGCTATATAGCTTAATCAAGACATTGTGCTGGACCTGTACAAATCTCAGACCAGTATCAAAGTGATTAAGGAAATCATGCTCTGACTTATTCCGCTTTGCCTTGTTTACATTGAAAAGCTACATCATTTCACTAAGTATATTGATTGAAACAAGCAGTCGAAGTCGGAGCAAGATCGTCTTAATTACTTTGTGTTGCCCTGATCTAAGATTTGTAGAGACACCAGATCAAAATTTTCTATGATTTTCTAGATTTTTATGAATCTAGCTGATATTAAAATTGTCCATCTCTAGTAATTCTTCATTAGCATGTTTTACTGTTGAAACCAGATGCATACATATGTACTTGGAATAAACCTCCCATTCCATCTAAAACTATTCATACCTAAACAATCTGGTTCCTTGACATATTTCTTTCCTTCTTGGTAACCAAGGGCACTGCACGTGGCCTGTAACTCTACTAGCATCACCATTTCGGCTGCAGTGTGTATCTTTAAACACAATAGAGGAGAAGTGTAGGACTGCACATAAAATCAGGGATATGCACACATTCTAAGTGATTTTAAATTTGATTTAAAAAAAATTATCATTAGGTAGATTGTGTATGGAAAATACCCAATTTCAAAATAAAAGCACATAAAGTTACCTGGGTGTCAACCAACAACTTTCATTCAGTCATCGCACAGAGGGTCCTAAAACGTAAACAAAAAATCGCGGGAAATGGAACACAAATCTGACTCACATCAAAGCTTCATTTTTATTTTATACCGATCCCGATGTAGCAAATTGCATTAATTGGCGTTGTCTTGATATCAAGTACTTCACAATGCAAGGTTAAAAAACAATATAGATTAAAATATTAGGCAGGCAATATCTCTCAACAAACCTTTATACCCATAAAAGGTTTTGAAAAGAATTTATTTTATTTCATTCATATCGGGAATGAGTTTCAAATAATTAAAAACAATATTGATATTCGCGTCTCTGAAACGCTTCATTCAGGAAGAGGAGAAAAAAATGGCTGAATTAACTCAGCTCATGGATCAAGAGATCCCTGATGGGCGACAGCACCTTCAAGATAGCTACAAAAATTTAGAAAAAGTAGCTCAGTATTGTCGAGAAAACTATGTTCAGGTAAAACGCTTGAAATTTGTAGTTTTCCTTCAGTATGCCTCAGACAGAAGAGGAAGCAAAGAACCAAATAGTGAAATACTGTAAATAGGATCAGGATATTCAGAAAGCAGTTGAATGTTTATTGCATTAATTGACAACTGAAATGAAAACCAAGTCATTTAATCTTCATCATTGCTGGATACACCCATACACCTTCAAGAGCCTCAGTTGATGTCCTAATCTCAGCGAGATGTCGTAGGGACTAAAATATTTGGTCGGACGTCCACTACGACATCTCAGTCCACTGCCACACAAAGTGATTAGGGATTTTTTGCTCAGATTTCGACCGCTTGTTTCAATCAATATGGGCTGAAATGAATTATCTGCTCGCTTCAACTTTTTCCTTTGAACATCCCTTTAAGTCTCTATCACAATAAAACTTTCCTTTCTTACCTTTAAAATGTTTAAATCCAACAAAATATAAAGTTGTTTATTTTTCCTATGTAATGTCCTATTCATTTAAACCTCCGATTTTGAAGAGTTCCAAAATAGTCTGCTTTGAATAATTCGTACTATATTCATTCCTATAGGAAATAGTTGTAGAACGAATAATTCTGAGCAGACTATTGTGGAACTCTTCAAAATCGGAGGTTTAAATGAATAGGACATTACATAGGAAAAATAAACAACTTTATATTTTGTTGGATTTAAACATTTTAAAGGTAAGAAAGGAAAGTTTTATTGTGATAGAGACTTAAGGGGATGTTCAAAGGAAAAAGTTGAAGCGAGCAGATAATTCATTTCAGCCCATATTGATTGAAACAAGCGGTCGAAATCTGAGCAAAAAATCCCTAATCACTTTGTGTGGCAGTGGACTGAGATGTCGTAGTGGACGTCCGACCAAATATTTTAGTCCCTACGACATCTCTCTGAGATTATTGATGTCCCTGCCCTCCTTATATATCTCAGACTCTTACATCCCAAGGCCATTTTCTAATGTGCTATGACGGTCTCGTTATGCCTGAGATTTTGGGCGGAACATATAGTGCATGAAATAAATTGTAAACAAGTAATTTTCTTATCATCAAAATACAGAAATCCAATGTCTATTTGTTTGGATATTAGCAGTTAGTTTTTGTTATGATCTTTCTCAGTTTGACTCATTTTGATCACTTAAAAAGAGAAATATTTCAAACACATTAATGTTTATTTTTTGTTTTGTTATTTGGTAATCAGAAATATGGTTTTCTAGTAATATATGTGTATGTAAAATTGATGGAAAATGAAATCTTACTGGCAAATGCCAAATCTTACTCTGACAAATCTTATAAGAAATCTAGGAGACAAGGAAATGGGTAAACAGGTCTGACTGATAATGATATTGATTTAAAAAGCAGGACTGGTGGTAACTATCATGTTACTAGAAATTGAAAACGAAAAGTGAAAACTGTAAGAGAATCTGAAGATTAAGCATACACATGAAAATATTGTTTCGAGGCAAGTTATAAAGAAGTTGCTAATGGTGATTAATACAAAAATTTTAAAAATTATGGTGTTTGAAATGAGGAACTTTCACTGTTTATCAATGAATTAGATGTAGAATAGCACTGTGTTCACATATTTAGGAGCTGTCACTTACTGTTAAGACTGTTTTATTGATCTCTTGTCAGGCTACAGACAAACGTTCTGCCCTGGAGGAGACAAAGAACTACACCACCCACTCTCTGGCCAGTGTGGCCTACCAGATCAACAGCCTGGCTACAAACTTCCTGAAGCTGCTGGACCTTCAACAGAATCAGCTGGCTGAAATGGAATCTGGAGTCAATTACCTTGCTCAGGTATATAGATGTAGTGAAAGTCAACTACCTAGCTCAGGTATATACATATAGTTATAGACAACTACCTAGTTGAGGTATATAGTTATTATAGTAAAGAAACTAGTGCAGGTATACGGTTATTTGTTGGTTCTTCATCAACTCTTAATACAGTAAGAAAAAAAGGACAATACTTTGTGTAATACAATGGTTTTCATATGATTGAAACCTGTTTTTGATGATCCTGACAGGATGACAGTAGGTAGTTTCTCATTACAAAATGTTAAGCTAAAGGATTTTATCTTTGTGAACATTAATGACACTTGTTTCCTTGTGCATTAGGATAGAAAGAGTTATTCTAAATAAGTTAAGAGTACTTAATAAAAAATAGTACTTAATAAAAAAATATAAATAAAAAAAGAGTACTTAATAAAGGTAATTCAGTGATCTTTTCTGATTTCTGACAGACTGTAAACATTCACAAGGAGAAAGTGGCCCGGAGGGAAATAGGCGTGTTGACGACAAACAGGAGCTCAACCCGACCTGCTGGGGTCAAGAACGGCATCATCTTCCCAGAACAGGCAGAGAAACCCACAAAGTACCAGCGTAAACCAATAGACTACTCCAGTCTTGATGACCTAGGTCATGGGGTCAGGGTAGGTGATCAACCCCTGGTATTAGTATGAAATATATATCAAACCTATATGTTCCTTTGTTTTATTGTCCAAAAAAGTGTTGATTTTGTGAAATAATTTTCTGATAGCTTCTTAACGTTTATGTTTTTTCCTCATCTCTCCTCTATCAGCATGACTGTTTCATAACACAGCATAAAGAAAATTGATTATAAGTGTTGTTTCCTTATTAAATGTCTTTTTTTGTTAAGTTTGTAACAAAATACCACAGTCATTAAGAAAATTTCTGTAGCTTCTAGTAACCAGCTTCCCTTATATCATTTGAACCATTGTTTTGCATGGAATTGCATGTTGTATTGGCATATCTCTTTCCAGGTACAAGAACAAGGTTTAATAAAGGTATTTTTAGTTTCTTGTGTATCCCTTGTTGTGTGATTTATATCCAGGTTACACTGTATTGAAATCCATGTTACACTATAGTCCAATCCACACTTTTTGCAAAGGTTGTGCCCCTTTGCGGGGTCAACCAAAAGGTCAAAAGGGAAAGAATTTACATTTCTCCTCTTTATGCTATCAGACATTTAAGCGGGCTCTGATGAATCCACTGTTTAAATTTTTTCTTTCAATGTATGGGTAGCCCCAGCTTCAGGAATCAATACTGGTATACAAGATGCACAGACTTTTTCCATTCAGGTGACAAAGTTACAAACCAGAAAACTATAAAGGCTATTGTAAGGATTCTATGGGTTTTCTCCCCAACGATGGCGACCAAGGGACATAACTTTTGAAAAGTGTGGATTTAACTATATTACACAGTATCATTCATTACAGTTAAACACAGCTATAGTGAAAAAATTCAATTAATTATTAATCACATTTTATCCTTTCTTTGGAAATATAAATAAGATTTTCTTTTTATGCAAAGCAATATTTTTCCTAATATAAGGAGAAGTACATGACCTTATGCAAATTTGTCTGTCTTTGAATATGCTGTATGACTGTGTTTCCCTGTTAGCACAAAGTACCCAGAATTTAATGCTGCTCAGCTGAAAATATTGGATTGGGCTTCCTTTGTGGACTTTTTGCATATGTTTTGCATGGAGTTAATTTTCCACTTAACTTAACAATTCTCATTTGGTTAGTTTAAATAACAAGTACAGCTGTACCGGTATTTCTCAGTATTTATGTATGTGTTTTCAATTAACATGTATTACATGCATATTGAATTTACATGTATATTAGTTAAACTAGATCTCTAGTTTTCATTACCATTTTCATTTAGTTAAATTGTAGAATGGGAGGGGTACTACCGTATAGCTGGTTTTCTTGGCGGGTGTAAAATTTGGCATTTAGCCTACTTAAAGGTATGCCAATAATTTTGGCGTAATTTATTTTAGCAGACGCAGGGTTTCAAGTCTTTGCAGATGGACACTAAGAAGAGTACTGACTATTTTAGCGATTAAATTTTAGCGGACTATCATCAAAATGCCAAAATTAGCCAAAATTAGCATCCCGCTAAAATAACCCGCTATACGGTATTTTATCTTATTTTTAAGAGTTGAAAAAAAGTATTTTCAGAAAATAGTAGAATTTAAAAATCTTAAGTTTACTTTAATGATTACAGAATTATGAAAATCATTTTTGTCTGCACACATTATTGTGTAATTATGTGATTACAAATAAAAAGTTTTTTACAGATAATGTGGTATACATATGAGCAGTAGAGCTTTAGTTTCATCAAATACCTCTGATTATTCAATGGTTATCTTTGAGATACATCTTTTTTAAATTTGATATAAAGATTTGTCAAGTGCATTACCAGATGTGAAATCTTTGAAGTTGTGCTGTATGACTAAATTTTATCAAGAATTCTGCCATATGTTTTGGGATGTATGATAAAAATTAATATTTATAGCTGCATCAGTTGAAAGACCCTTTTTTACAGTTTGAAATGTATGAAAAATGTCATATAAAAACTTTTTATTTACTTGTTAATGTATATTTAGCATGCACTCCAAAAGATGATCACTATTTAGAAAAATTCATGAAAATATGTTTCAGTTTCATTTTATATCTTTTACAACTATAAAGGTCTTTCAGTGTTTAAAAGAAGGGGGGGTATTTATTGGACATGTAACCTTTGAAATCTAACAATTGACAGTATACTTCCTGTTCACAGGGAAGTTCTAAACCAGCACGCAGTCCATCTGTCAGCAGTTCATCATCTGGTCAGGCCCCCACATCACATCCCCCCACCCCACCAATGAACCGTAGTGGTGGCACCCCCGGGAGGAGCTCTGGTAGCAGTCACTACAGGACCCCTGCCCCTCCCGTGGCCCCACCCTCAGTTCCATCACAGTATGCTTCCAGTAACTACACAGTGCAGACAACAGGACTACCAGGTATCAGAGAACGAGAGTATCTCCAGTAAGAATCATAAAAACTGAATACAGGGATTGGTATATTGGTTGTTCAAGTGTATTGTATAACTTGAGAGAGTAAGATTGATTTGTTTGCTACTGGTTCAAATTGAGAGAAGTCCACCTAGATCAGGCACATTGGGAAGGCATGTATGAACCTCCATTCATGGAATTTAGAATTTATTGACCTAGATCAATGAATTTTTAAAATGTAACATTATAAGATATTTGAGTAAAAAAACAACAACCTTTACACTTGCAGGTCAATCCAGAGCGTCCCAGGCCAGGGGAAGTAACTATGGCCAGATGATTATTCCCCCTAATGCACCAGCTCCTCCCCCACCGGTGGGAATGGCCACACCCATGTCACACCCAGGGGCCGGAATGCCACAGGGTCGAAGGTCACAGCTGAATTCACAATCTTCTGTTGGTAGGTTTTACCTTTATGCATGTATATTGTTTAAGCACTACTTCATCAATTGTTGGGGTGTATAAAGATTAAAGACTTTGTGTAAATGTGGAACTGTTGATGATTTAATGTAAACAGATTATGTAAACAAGATTTGTTTTAATGAAAATATATCTCATTCAAAATTCCTCAAATACTATTAAGAAATGTTATGACCGAAGACTACAATAAAGTGTGTTACATTTGTCAAGCAACCAAAATAATCATTTTTGTTTTTTGTTTTGTAATCAAAAGAACAAAAATTAGATTTATTATTTTGTTGATAATTTGGATTTTTAAAAACAATTTTGTTTCTTTTTGTTCATTATTTATTATTTAATTTTATTTTAAAATAAAGATTATTATTACATTTTTACCTGTGAAATACTGTAATTTATTCATTGAATAAAAATGATATCCTGTCACACTGTGAAAGGATATCAAAATGATATCCTGTCACAGTGTGATGAATATCAGAAGTGCGGGAAAACTCTCGAATTCCCTTCCCATAACGAAGATTATTGTAAAAAAATCTTCCTTGACCTAATGTAAGATAGATGAAAATAAATAAACCCCTTTGACAGCGAATAAAACTGTTAAAATTACCAAAAATTTGTTGCTAAATCCATGTTTACAGTGTTTTTCACTTCACATAGCTATGACGTCTCAACCGCTCAACTATGACGTCACGAGCCTATAGCTATGACTGTATTATAATAAAAAGACAGAGGCAAAGAAAAAAAATCAAAGAATTTTATTTTAAAAATGTAATAAACAGAAAATTCAATGCTTTGTAGTTGAATATGGAATTTATTTCACTCGTGAGACAGGATTTTTTTTTTTATATTTTCACTCGTGCTTTGCACTCGTGAAAATATAAAAAAAATCCTGTCCAACTCGTGAAATCAATTCCATATTTAACTACAAAACATTGAATATCATCTATTACTTTTTCAACTTTTAGATTGATGATGTATTAAATTATTTTCATTTCTTGAGACAGGAAGAAGCTTTGTTTGAATTCCATAGGGCACATATACTTTTATTAGGCTTTCAAGATATTAATCAAGATTTATTTATTTTTGCCAAATCTACCCTTCAATTTATACCTCTCAAAAAAAAAAAAAACACCAAAAATTGTTAAAAAAAAGAAGTTTGAATTAAGTACCAAATGAATGCTTTTGAAACCTTGTTAAGTGTGTAAGCAGGCCTTAATCAGATGAAGGAGCATGATGCAGGGCTTAGCATGAGTTGATGTTGTGGTCTTATTTCAGACAATTTACCTCCACCCCCCTCACCAGAGGTCACCCCCGGAGGCGGAGTCCCCAATGAAATCCTCGAAGGTTTGCATGCTTTTTGCCGCCCATTTTTCTCACAGCTTCTTGTATAATGGCACTGCTTTGGCTTGGTGTGTAACTTTGTGGTGGTTGTACTAGATCTGTCTTCTCTCACACGGGTCTCTGATGTGTATAGTGACACAGGTTCTTAACATATTTGTTTCAGAGTATCCTGTATTGCAGACTGCCTTTATACTCAGTAGGGAGAAATGGATGCCAACTAATGATTGGATTTTTTTGTTGTAGAGAGCACCATTGTATTATTCATGTAGATCTTACATTTTGAAGACAGAAGAAATAAGTAGCTTACATGTTCAATGTTAGAAAAATAATCAAATGATAGTTTAAAAAACCATAACATTAGTGAAATTAGAATGTGTACTTTTAAGTAAATAGATCATGTAGATTTTGCATTCAGAAGTCGTGTGGATTTTGCATTCATGCATTCAGAAGACATAAGAATTTTTAAAATGTTAGAAAAATAATCAAATGATATCAGCCATAACATTAGTGAGGATAGAATATGTAGTTTGAAATAATTAGATCTACTTATATGTATTTTTGCAATTTTGACTAAATCTAAGAATACTGAAATTAACTGTATACTGTCATAGCACACATCATTCTTTAATTGACTTATAACGACTACAAAATATTAATGTAATGGGCACTTCTTTGTATATACATGTGTAGTAGTGACTGTTCAAATGAGTATACATTCAAACCTTGTTATCTCAAACTTGAAGAGACCTAGATTTAACTTCAAAATATCTGAAGACTTGAGATCCCAGTGGTAAAAAATGCAAAAAAGTGGTTGTCAGCTGACTTTGACAAACCTATTGTATTTGAGATAACAAAGTTCAACCTTTTATTTACACAAGTATATTGCTACACTTTAACTTTGTGTAATAGTGTAATGTCTGTAGTATGAAATGTAGTTCATATACGTAAATGTAGTTTGTACCATTATTAATGAAATAATTTGAATACATATTCATTGTATGAGTGTATTTATAAAAGAATATACTATTTAGGGTTCTATCTGGAAAATGTTCTTAATATATAGGAAAGCAACATTAGCTAAGTCCTGTAGGATATCTGTCTGATTCATATTAAGGTGTTCTTTTCTACCATTTGTATTGTTCTACAGTGTCTATTATACTTCATATATTTTACATATATTTTACTATTGTATTTCTTTTTTATATATGTTACAAATTAAAAAGGGATGCATCTTTTAATTGCTGGTATATGTTAAAGTATACTTTTATTTTATAGTTTAGTTTATATTTCCTCCACATATACTACTTTCATTATTTTTTCTCAAAGTCATGGCCAAATATCTTCAATAATAGCATAACTTTTAAACACATTGCGTTCTGTTTAAAAAAATTCTTTTTAAGACTAAAATTTCCATTTAAATATTTGAGGGATTTTTAAATGTTACAAAATACATGCAATAAGATTGGGAAAAAGCAAAACTTCCTTTTTTCACCGTGTTGCTGCTTAAACCTAACGTGTTGGTGGGGAGCTAGACTGCACTTCATTCTAATAGGCACATGTTTCTACATTAATGACCAGTTTACAGATCATTTGTTTTTTTCTTGGATTTCTAATTTTGTTACTGACAAACATGATAGGTTTGAAATCATATTTTCTGTAATCAAGTAGCTTCCTGGTTTGGTTTTCACAAAACTTGGACCAAAGAAATATAAATGTTTAAAAGCTGTTGAATATGTTTTAGTAGCATGCATATTTGAAGAGATTTTTAACATCCCCCCTTCCCAAATGCTTCACATGAATTTCTGCTTTTCATCACCAGTTTCTCTGTTGTTTTCAGCAAAACTGATGACTTGCTCAAATATAAGATCTTTTAAAAATGTATTTTCAGCTTCACCACCCTTGCCCCCACCCCCACAGGACAATCAGCAGTACCCCCCTCCTCCACCCCCCGAGTTCATGGGAGAGCAAGTCGACATAGGGTATCGTCAGGAGGAGGACCCTTATGCTGCCACAGGTCCAAACTTTGCCCAGCCTGACTGGGTACCGGAGCACTACATAGAGAAAGGTAGGGGATAGAGACAAATATTGCATGCAGTGCAAAAATTAGGCAAAATTTTAAGTTTTAAACCTTATTTTTAAAATTCATATCCTAAATAGTGTTTAGCCACAATGTGTAATTATATTATTATATTATATAAGAGGTTAATTAAATAAACATTTCATTTAATCAATTGTTAAAAATTTTTTTCTTTTTTTAGTAATAGCTATTTATGACTACCAGGCAGAAAAAGAAGATGAACTGACATTTTGTGAGAATTCGTTGATTTACGTGACAAAAAAGAATGATGATGGGTGGTATGAAGGGGTCATGAATGGGGTCACGGGGTTATTTCCAGGTAATTACGTGGAACCTTGCATGTGATTGGACATCTTCAATCTAGACATGGCCATCAATTCAAATTTCTGTTCCAAATCATGCAATTTTGGTCAAATATAATAAATAAATTCTTGAATTTAATCAATAATATTTCCCTTTCAAAAGTGCTGAATATCAAATAGTTATCAAAAATCACCACCTTTTTTTACGGTTTGCCTGCATTGTAGTTGAATAAATGTATTTTGTAATTGGCATTTATTCTAATATTAATCTTGATTGTAATTATTGTTCTAAATCTTCTGTTGAAGATGACTTTATATGTATTATGTTTGCAATACTTGTGTAGGAGCCCAAACTTTGTTTCAGTTTGCTTAAGTTACCATGCAGGCTTCATAGAATATTTTCAGTTATTAATGTTACCAACAATGTACATTATGATGTTTTACAATAGATTGTATGAAGCAAGCAATATTGTATTTACTGATAAACCAATTTCTACTAAAAAATAATAAAAAATATATATATACATTGTACCTCTTTAAATTTTTTTTCTTGAAGCCACTTTTCACCTGTGACCTTTTGATATTTGCCCTTGTCTGTTGGTATATATACATGTATGTAAGACTCCAAAGTCTGATGGTGACTGTGAAGTCCAATGGTCTCGCCAAGCCCCGATGATTTGTTGTCAATACAGACGCCAAAGTCTGATGGTCACGCCAAAGTCCAGTGGCTCATCTCCTATGAAACGCACTGCGCAAAAGATGGTCTGACATGCCAAAGTGCGGAGAAACAATTAACGTTTATGACATCACAATAATTCGACGTCAATCACTGACGCCTCTATCCTGCATTCAAAAGCCATCATTCCTGAATTTGTCCTTGTATTCAATTTTATTGATTTTGCTTATTGCTTGCACCTTCCAGAGATATTTGGATTAGTCCTCGAACACCACTCGATTGATTAGGTTTAGTCCTTGCTTCGCATCAACCCGAGAGATTTAGGGTCAGTCCTCACACACTAGTCAAGTGATTAGGGTTAGTCTTGCATCCACCCAATATAATATCTAGGATATAGTTGTTACACACTTTTCGAATGATTAGGGTTAGTTTTGCTCCTATCTGAGAGATAAGGGTTTGTTTTTGCATAATGATAAGACCTTGGTCTACCGTGGCAGTGAGGTTTGGCGCTGTAGTACATATACTATGACGTCATAAATGTTAATTGTTTTCTGCACCATCAGACTTTGGCATAGCAGACCATCGGGGATTGGCCAGACCATCGGACTTGAGTTCCATTAGCACTTTGGAGTCCCACATATATATGCATTGTTCGTCATCAATGGTGAACTTTTTTTCTTCTCAAAAAACCACTGAACTAATTTTAATCAATTTTTTCAGGTAGGGTCTGTGAAACTTGTATTGTGTATTTCATTGTCTTTAAAATATACACGAGAAATATCGAAAAATTTTCATCTTAAGAACCACTAGGCCAGAAAAGCTTAAACTAATGAAGTGGAAGCATCCTAGGCAGTTTAGATTCAAAATTTTTCAAATCAAGTCCCCCAGGGGTAGGGTGTGGCCACATAAGGAGATCAATGTTTTATATTGAAATATGTAAGAAAAATCTTAAAATCCTCTGGGTCAGAAATGCTGAAACTTGTAAAGGAGCATCCTGGGGTGGTGTAGATTCGAAATTGTTCAAATCATGGGCCCAAGGGATAAAATAGGGCCATTAAAGGTATTACAAGGGGGAGAAATCTGGCAATGAACAGCAGGGTGAAAGTACTGTAAATCACTTTTTATTAGCGAGAACTTTATTTTCGCGTAATTACGCGAGACAGTGTGCTCGCAAAAATTTGATTCTCGTGTATAATAGTATTCCTAAAGATTATATAGAGCAATAACCACAATTTCTGAAAATTTTGTCTCGCTAAACAAGAGTCAATGACTATCTAGCGAAAAATAAGGTGTCGCGAAAATTAAGTGATCTACAGTTGCTCAGGTGAGCATTGTGACCCATGTGCCTCTTGTTTGTGGTAGGTTGGGCCTTGGTTTATCTAATGAAATTTCATAAAATTTATTAAAATCTCCATGTATATTTTGCCATCTATCTTGCCACTAACATCTGAATCTGTCACATTGCTTCACCTTACAAGGTATTCACTCCAAAGACACAAACACAGGCCCTTTCCTTGCAGATCCTCTACCTGTCACTTCCATATCACGCAGAACTTCAAATATGTACGGTATTTACATTTGTACCTTTATCTCAAATGGAGAGAACCAATATAGGCCCTAGGCCTGCTGTTCAATCCATGTTCATTGTATACTTCTTTGTATATTATGAATAAAATTCTTCTTAAACTTCCATATCATAGTCATGGCACTTAATGTTACAGGAGAGGAGAAAAATGCAATGGACATGACTTAAAAAATTGGAATCAAACCTGGGTTGCTTGAATCACTGGTCCAGTGCTCTAGTATCCTGCTTTGGCCTGGTCAGTCATATTTCTCCCGTAGGTATCCTGGTCAAGGCACCAAATCTTAACAGACAAGGAAAAATATGTGATTGGTCACAGTGAGGGTTTTTTTTTTTACTTTGGCCTCCTGAAAACAAACTAGGTGTACTTCGATGAGCAAGGGTGCATTTTCCAGCTGATTCATTGCCCCTCGTTCAGGGGTTCTGGTGTTAGGTTATGGATGTGGCTATATTGACATGCATTAATTGTTTGAAAATCATGTTCTTTACTCCTGCTTATAATCAGAAAGTATATGATTAGCTTGAGTGTCTCTATCTTAATTTTGAAATTTGATTTTGCTACTGAGCTAGCCAAGAAATGAAATCTTTTAAGTTTAAACTCAAAATGGAGGGGGAGGGAACATGTTTTCGTGATAATGACAATTAACCAATACAAGCGGGAGACTCATTTTATATTAAGTAATTATTTAATTTATAAACAAAACAACATGCAAAAACGATATACAAGTACTAAGATGCACATAGTGCATACTTTGGCAATCTTATTGTTTCAGGATTTTTGCAATAAAATTGATATAATCTTGACTATACAACAGTAAAAAAATTAGTAAAATAAAAAGTAATCTCTGTAAATAAAAATATGTCATATATTCAGTAAAGACAACCAGTAAAGTGCATGGAAAATAAAATCTATAAATAACATGGCATTCCAGGCTTTGGAAAAAACTTAAATTTTTCCAAAATAAAAAATGAAAAGAAATTATTGAAGTGAATCAAATTCAGATTCCAGGTTCTGGAGTATGCTTCATGATCTTAATCTTCATCACTGTTGTAACCAAAATAGATATGGTGGTTCATTTCAAAAAAGGCAAAAAAAAACTTTGCCAGTGAAGAAAAACATCTACGGTGCATGCAGCAGATGTCTATAATTATATAATAGTGTCTTTGTACATGCAGCCAAACACATAGGTGGTTGTAGCACGGAGTCCGTCAAGTTTGATGTACGCTCGCCATCCCTCCGGGGGGAAAATGATTTCTTTTGCAAGGCATGCAGCAAATGTATCTGACTCATGTACAGTCAAAGAATGATTGCAAAGTCACAAAGATGACAATTGTGGGGGGAGATTACAAGTTCCAGAACAGTGGTACTAGGATGCTTGTGGCGGCCATTCTCTGAAATTTGCAGACAATTTGTGCCCATGCACACATATCCTACAATATAAAAAGAATAAGTATGCAGAATTCATGTATAAATAATTTACCAAATTGTGCATACCACATAAGTGGAAATTTTAGCGAGACGCAAACTTAAAAATTGGTATTTTATTTTTAGCGATAAGTAATTTTAGCGATTTTGAAATTCTCGCTTAAGAAGCTATTACAAATTGAATGCAATTAATTTTTAAGCGATATTCAATTTTAGCGATCTCAGCACCCTCGCTAATAATGCCAAAATTAAATTCTCGCTAAAATTTCCACTTATACGGTATACAGAAATGAACACACGAAAAATGACAGCCAAGTTTTGTCTCTGTGAGATTTACATGGAGAAATTTTTTTTAAAAAGATCTTAATTTTATTTTAGTTTTATTGATGTGTAAATATTGTCACGTAGGTATATTTCAAGAATCGCACTAGGTTCAACTTACCATTACCATCCACCTTAGTAGACATAAAAGGAGGAGTTCAGATCTTGTTTCTGGGAGACTGTTGGACGTCTCTGCTCTGGGAGGTTACGGCGCACGGGTCTGTGCTTAAAATTAACTCTAGCCAACCACTCAATCTGAAGAAAAAAATCACAATAAATCCAAGCCCATAATAGAATTTTTTCGGGGAGGGGTGGGGGTCAAAACATTTCACATTTAACAAACTAGAAGACAATAAATTAAAAGCCTAAACTGCCCAAATCTGCCCAAATCGCAATTTCTATTTTCGAGTGAGTGGGGCGGGGTGGGTGTATAAGGTGATTTTTTCCTTTTACATTGTATTTCATAACTTTCCATTGTTTGACTTTTCTCAAACAAGATTTGGGGGGTAAACAACCTAGCTTTAAATGAAGTGTATTATACACTGTATAATAAAATTACAGCAAAATATAATTCTTATTTTTCAATTTCACCTCCCACAATTTTACAGGCGGGCCTTTGTTGTTAATTGAATAATTGTGACACACTGCGTTTTAAGCTCCATGCATTTTGGGCACTTTCTTATACCTGATATACGTTTACAAAATTAATTCGTTTGGCTAATTGCGCGCATATTTCATAGGATGAATTGAACACTTACATGATGCGTAGGTTGAGGTATGGTGGGTAGCTCCCTACGCTCCTCAGACTTGTTGATGGCATGGGTCAAGTCACACTGCGAGAAAAAAAATGTTCTTATCAAAAATGTCATATATACAGCCAGAAAAAAGTCTTGGACAATCACATTAACACATAGAGAACTGCATTCGATGTGTATACGTATATGACATGATATCCATTCTCAGACTCTTACCCAGTCTCGAATGTGATCTTTCCATTCGTGAACAGCAGAAGCAAAGACTTGCTTGCACTGGAGAAAAAAAAATTATAATTACAGACACAGATTTAGGAGAGAGAGAGAGAGAGAAAGAGAGAGAGAGAGAGAGAGAGAGAGAGAGACAGACAGAAAAAAGAGAAACTTACAGCTGATTTGGCCGCCAGAGCGAGCATCACCTCGTACCACTGACGACTGTCATCTGAAGAAGCGTCCACACGCCGCTGAAATGTAAAAGAAATAGATTAAATTAAGGATGTCATGTATGTTTGTAACTTTTTAAAGCCTGTTCAAAAGTCAATACTTTTTAGTCTTTAACACAACACAGTCAGATTGTAACACAACATTGTATTATTAACTATACAATACTGTCATGTATATATCAAAGTACACTGTATTAGATTTGTTCATGAAAAGAAACAGAAAATGAAAACCAAATTCAAAGTTTATTCGTAAGTTAAATCAAGCCTTAAGTATATTCATAACAAAGGACCTTCAGTAAATATCTAAAAATTATATGTAAGAATTTTTTTCAAAATTCGATAACATCACGATGGAAACATTTAGGCCTATTAGGATGATTGCTTTGAACATCCCACGGTCGGTCTCGCTTTTCTGTAACCTACCACCAAGATTTAAATGATTTCCGAAAATAAACTTTGAAAACATGTTGCTCATTGTAAAAGAACAAAAATTAATAAAATATTTAATCTATTTATAAAATAAATTCTGGGAAAAAAGTTTCAAAAGAAAAAAAAATTCTATGGTCAAAGGGGAATAACTCAAATTACGGTTGCTCAAAAATATGAAAAAAAGTTTCAAAACAAAAAATATATGGTCAAAGGGAAATAACTCAAATTATGATTGCTGCCGAGTGTGCTCCCTTTAATCATTGACCTAAGGCTTTTGGTCTAAAAACATGTCTTTGAGACATCTTTACGTCTACCACAATAACTCCATCCATTCCAGTGATGAGGTAAGTTTGCATTAGATGTGACCTAAAATCAGTTCTGTAATCACGATCGAATGTTTGACAGTGAAGAGGAGCTTTTCATTCTTCTCTATTTTTGCGATATCCCACATTTCCTCTGTTTATTGACATTTTTGTTTTGCACTCTCCCAATAGATAGTTTTCGATAGGCCTGAATTTAGCGAAAGTTACCTCCCGTTGGCCGCCATATTGGAGGTCGACTCAGTGATTTTCCCTCTTTGTCTTACCAAGTTTAAGAAAATATAGCCAGGCGCGTAGCCAGCATTGAAATGAAGTGTACGCAGAAAATGGTCGGGGGTCTGGGGGCCGCCCTGAGGCCCCCAGTGGGTCCAGGGCGAAGCCCTAATAGGGGACAAAAAGCTCCTGGATTTTACGAAATTATTCAGTCATTTTCCTTTAAAAGAAATCACGCTACATCTCTTTTCTCAAGCAAACACTTAGCTAAGTTATACTTCCATGGATACTTCAGGAAGAGAAGGATAATTTGATCAAATTAATTAACGAATATATTGGTATTGGAAAAAAAGTTTCCAAGTGTGACAAGATAAAACAGAGAAGTAATTTAATAAGTTATCATTGGAGTTAAAGTATTTCAAAATATAAACGGGGATGTGGGTCTTTTGATAACCTTTATATTCTGATAGCTTAAACAATGTGAGAGTACTTTAAAATTCTATAAATTGGTAACATCAGTAAAAGAAGATATTCATAACTGATCTATATTTTTATTTACTTTGTTCAGTAATTTGAATTTTGCCATTTTTTTTTTGTTTATCGATATTTATTCATTACTTCAACGGAATTTCTTGTATAGTTGTCCAAAACCCTTGTAACTTTTTCTTTAGATCAATGTCACTTAGATCGCTTTCTTTCATCAAATATATACGTGTATTTGTCCGGATAATCAGGATTACGCGGATTAACAGTTGAAAATTTTGGTTCAACAATATTTTCTTACTGAAAGAATTTTGGAATTCATTTTATAAAAGACTGGATTTTAACAATAATATTCTGAACAAAATTTGAATAGAAACAATAAGACGTAAAATAATTTGAAAGACAGATAGTGCCTCTTTTTCTCCGAATAAATCTCTCTTTCTTTTTTATTCTTTTTTCTTTCTTTCTTTTCTTTTTTTTTCTTTCTTTTTTTTTTGAAAATGATGTGTACGCACTTGCGTACTTGCGTATAGGCAGCTACGCGCCTGATAGCAGAAATATTTGGTGGAAAATCTTTATCAAATATTTTTTTTTAAATAAAGGAGGCTTCCAAAAATTTATATACTTCAGAAAAATAATGATTTCTAATTCAAAATAGCAAATATAAAAATTTTAAATTGGTTGAACAATGAAGGAATATGATCATTTGGACCTCCAGTATGGCGGCCAACGGGAAGTAACTCTTGGTCAATCGAAAACTATCTATAGGCCCCAATACATTAGGTCTATTTTATTTTCTTATTTTGCAGTCACTCATTTGGTCTCTGTTTTTTATGAACAAATATTTTTTGAGCTTTTTTAATATATGACTGTTTTTTTAAGTTTTACTAAAAGTAAAAGATTTAGACTAGGCTCAATATAAAGCTACCAAAAAATGATGGGAGTCCCGATAGTGGCGATATTGTACGATAGACCTAAAGTACATAATAGTATACTAAATGTGTATGTAATAAGGAGGCGATTTATTTATTCCTCCTTCGGTATCTTTTTAACCGCCTTTTCTAACCCTAACACCGTGACTAAAACCTCATCCATCTTATTTTTACACAAAGGCGTGCATCGAAAGGGGGGGGGTCATATCTATGAGAGATAGATTTCTTACTATTGATTGTATGTTTTTTCTTTATTCATTTTCTGCATTAAAAATAAAATAAAAATTTATAAAGATGAAAGAAACATCCTAATAAATCGGCCATTATCATAAGGTTGATGTCTTGGCTAATGGAGTGATTGGACATTTGAATACTAAAGTTAAACAAGCTGATTTATGACCAATAAAATTTTATTTCCAGAAGAATTACCCTCTTAGACACATTCTGGCTCTTTCTCTCTGAAGATCTTTGTCTTTTCATTGTGAAATTTGTGATTTTCGTCGCTCTGAGAAAAACACGTCTAATCGCTACTGATCGAAGTGAGTAACTAACAACAGTAACCAAAACGCAACGTTCCTTAGCAGTAACCAAGTATGACGTCATCGCGGACGCCGATGGCAACGCCTCACTCGGCAAACCTCGGCTGATTCCGTCGCTTTTTTAGATCATTAGATGAGGTAAGTGCCGAGTGGGCAACGCCTAAAGTAGCCTGCACCTAAAGCTAAAAAAAAATCGGTGAATTCAAGATTTAGGGGGCACGTCCTTCAATATTCATAATATATAATATGATTAATTTCTAATGTTATTTATTTTATTTATTTATTTATTATTAATTTCTTTTTTTTTTTTTTTTTTTGGTAAATCGAACACACTCCGTAAAATGTTAATATATGAGCTATACTAAAATCAATCACAGAACTTGCGTTCAGTCACCTTTAAAACAAATGGTCTGTTGTTAGACCTTGAGCTCAACTCCCTAGCATCCTCGAGATATTCCGCGGTATTGAAAGTGTAACAGACAGTCGGTAACACAGTCAGAAGGACAGACAGACAGACCCAATTTAGTCATGTTAAGGTAATCTGATCTTCAGTCAGGAAGAATGACTCTTAAATTTATAATTCAATTCAAAAAGTCTCGAAATGAAGCTTGAAATTCAATCTTTTCATGCAACAATGTTCATTTTATTCCTTTCAATGTGCATCAAGGTTCTTTGAAGTTCTCAGAGAGGTCTTATAAAAAGTCGAAATTTTTATCCCATAAAAGTATTTTAAGATAACATATTTAAAGAATTTGGGTTAATTTAATCCAACCATAGAGATAACAATGATTATTAACTGATTAACAAGATATGAAATTAGAAGAGACTTGTGGTGTTTTGCAATGATAGGAAAACACTATCATGCATTGTAAAATGGTCGAAGTACATAGATGAAACTAAAGTGCCTTATAATTTTTGTATATAAAAAGTAAGCAATATCTCTAAAATCCCGAACCTTTAATTTTCATTTCTTAAGGTCAGACGACACGTTCCTCAAAAATATATAATTTTTCCTAAGAATTTGTCATTGAAGTATAGGTACTTAAACAAGTTTCCTCACAAAAAATTAGGGTACCTTACCAGGCATTTGGCCAAGATACCATAGGGTCATATTTCTTATATAGCCCCTATGGGTAATCTTCTAAATTGCCCATGCCAAGAAAACCTTAGCATTCTCTCCGTATAGCAAACTCAATAAAAGCCGAATTAACATTAATCCGTGATTCTTCCCCTGGGAGACGTGCGGAAGCAATTAATGTCTGCAGTTTTGAGGGAGGGATCTTAAAATTTACTGGGTTAGAATTATAGGTAGAATATTAGTTATTTAGAAGCCTTTGCAACCCCCCCCCCCCATTGTCTTTTTTTTGGTGTGTTGGGGGGATGAAATTAATTATAGTAAAGTAATTCTTCAATAAAATAAGGTGCCTTTCAATTTTCTTTTACGTAATTCAATTTCAAAATATTTTTTCTCAGTACAAATAAATTGTCATCGGGTAGTTGTGGAAGTATACTGCGTCGAAATATAAATAAAAGAGTACCAAATTTCCGGAAGTTTACATCATTTCCTGGTTGAACAAAAGATGGAGACGAGTACTGAATGGGTAGACGTTACCCGATTGGCTATGTGTATATTTTCATTTTAAAGTGAATTTTTTCTTTTGATTGTTTATTTTTCTTATTTTCTTCAGTCCAATATTTTCTTAAAAATAAACGTATTTTGTAAATAAAGATATTTGACAGTAACATTTTAGGGTATTTGTACTACTTCCTGGAGTAGAAATTTATTTTTTCTTTAACTAAGAAAGCTTCAAACCTAGGATCCACCCCCAGAAGTCTGCTGCCGTAAATTGTCTTGCTGGCAATCGGAGTTCCTCGGATGACTCGTACCTCGCACATAACCTCGGACGTCAAAGGTGATCTTCCATCTTGCTGATTCAGTCATGTGATCTTATTTGAATTTCATTCAAATATTATACTTTTGAAAGCCGAGTTACTTTGATGCATTCCCAACACGGTGTTCTTGCTTTCAAAGAATACTAACATTTGGTTGTAATTAACACGAGGAATTACACTAATAAAGAAACCTTTGCTAAGACCTTTAGGCAGAGCGAAATATGAAATGAGTGACAAGGCAGTTTCCGGCGGAGAAATGTAGCGATCTGTTGCGTATTCCTCCACCTATCACATCCGAGGTTTGAATGGAGCGGAGCGGAGTCAGCCGAGGATTGCCGATTGTCTTGCTGGCGTTTAGGGATTTGCATCAATTACACTTTTATTGACTCCATCGCTGTCGAAATCGGACGAGATTTCTTGGCATGCTATAACACAATTTTTGGTGTATTTATATTTTAAAACATTTTGAAAACAATGTAGAAATCAGAAGAGAATGACAAGTATGAATAATTTTTGATACAATACCAAGAGATACAAAACATATTTGAGGGACGTGTCGTCTGACCTTAAATATACGACCTCTATCTTCCTCTCAATAAAGGGTGTAGCCCACAGGCTTTCAGATCGCTTTGATCTGACCGACATGTACATTTTTGTTATACATGTCGGTCAGATTAAAGCGATCTGAAAGCCTGTGGTGTAGCCTAAAGGTGAAGGGACAAAAATGTTTCCGACGAGGATGGGATTCGAACCCACGCGGGGAGACCCCAATGGATTAGCAGTCCATCGCCTTAACCACTCGGCCACCTCGTCTTGGTGAGAAACACGTGGTGAAATTTAATAATATTCAGTTGCCTGATAGTGTCATTTTTGCAGATGTACACAAGAACCTTTGAACATGTTGAACATCCCCATAGGTCTTTCTTTTATCCTTCTATGACGATTTTCTAATCTCCACCATGTTTCATTACAAAATTTCCAAAAATAGGTTTTAAATGTGTTCGGATAAAAACGGACAAAATAAACCAAGTTGTAGTTCACGTATTCTATATATGATAGTTTGAAGTTTCCTTGGAAAAAATCGTACATGATTTCTTAAACAGAAAAATTTTTGTCACGCTTATTTTCAAAAATTGAGCCGTCTTTCCTTCAATAATAAAAATTTCGTTATCAGGATATTGCATTTTTAAAGTGGCCCGACTGACTCAGTGTAAAACGCACTCAGCACCTGTAAAGCATGATGATGACTGTGATTGTAAACTATTTTAAGAATTTCTCCAAAACATTGATCGTGGACACATCTAATTAACATAATTAATACCGAAAAACTCTGTAAAGTGCATTGGTTAGGATGTGATTTTAAAGAGTATTTCATTTTTTGCAATAATGTAGTTAGGACGATTATATGCCAGAAAATTAAAGAAGATGAAAGAAGTTTTGAGCTGAAACAGAATGTAAGATTTTCTCTTCAGTTTTTGTAAAAATCTTGTGAATTTCATTGTATATTTAAAAACGCTGAAAAATGAATTTTTATCTGGTTGTAAAATAACTTTATCTACAAGGAATAATAATATTTGTTTACTGTATAGAATAATTGCAGAACACTGCAATATGTAAATCTCAGTTGACAACAGTCGCTAAAAAATATTAAAAAATTGTAGAAATTTACTACATTCTTTAATATGTGTCTGATCTTAGCCAACAATTTAGAATGTTATATTTTTCAATAACAATTTTATTGGTGAAAAAAGTGTTTCTCTGACTCACAAACTAAGAAAGGTGCCTTTCAAATGAGTGTGTTGCAGTCTTTATATATTCAAACCCTCTCTACACCGCACATGAAAAAGTTCTGATTCTATGTATTTTACAACAGTGAAAGTGATCTGCCCATAGATCTAAATTCCAATATTTAGAAATTTACAGTTAGATTGATGTTAAAATTATATTGGCATTGTACCAAAATAAACACTGGCAATTGATGATTTACTTGAACTATATATAAGTGCATTTACTATGAAGAATCCAGAGAGATCAGAATGTAAACATGAGGCGTAAATTTGAAGCGAGGAAAAAACGTTGAGAAAATAAGTTAAAATTTCATATTTATATGGATTATTTTTTAGGATAAATTAAAAGACATAAACAATCTCAAAATGACAAAATGGTTTGTTTTGATTAATTTGGTAGTAAATTTATTTTCAGTGCAATCCCTTTTGTATTCTTCTAAATCGTTTAGGGCGGATCTTCTCCAATTTGCTACATGTATATTGCAACTGTATGGGATGTATTCTTACTGTGGTGAGGGCTTGTCCTGAGACACTGTTAGATTATGCCAAAAAAATTTATAGATCTATGTTTGTTTCCTGTACATTTTTCCAAACTATCAAGGTAGATGGGTATAGGAATTTTTTTTTTTGGCTAATGTAAATATGAACCTTACTGTTGAAGTACCGGGTATGTACATACACCATTGTTCATAAACAGTCTGGTCAAAGCAGGTAAGACTTTAAGATAAAATATTCAATAAAAAGACAAAAACAGTTAATATTAAACTGAAATTATAAAAGCAATATATTATTCTTCCTTTCAATGGTTAGAGCGTCTGCTCTAGAGTCCGTAAGTAAGGAGTTTATCCTTATATCTTGCAGGTTCAAATCCCATAGTGGGACGTGGAGACCATATAAATCAAGGTCCTGTGTCACAGTAGGTGCTGGCAAAAAAATCTCTCCCTGCTCAATGGCCCTGAGTGCCAAGTATAGAACAAAATTTGCAGCTCTCCACTGGCAACTGGTGGCGTCTCCATATGACTTTATGTGTAAAAATTCTCAAGAGTGATGTTAAACAACAAACAATCAATCCTCATAAATTTTACTTTTATAGTAAAAGTTACTGTTCTTGGGCATTGCATGAAGGGACGAAAAACCCTCATTTGGGGTATACCCCTGTTTGGGGGTTCGACCAGACTGATAAAAGCATTAGCTAACCTGTATTAGATTTAGAAGAATGTGCATCAGAGCAAGCATTTCTTGACAACTATTAAAACAGCGATTGTTCAAATTTAAATTACAACTCTTTTTTCTGGGATCAGATTAAGAGCACAGTTAAATCCCCATCAAATGAGAATGAACCTAGGATTACTCATAAGAAACCAGACTGACACCCAAATGGTCAATGTGTAATGTTATATAAATAGTTTTTTCATAAAAATAAAAGTACGAAATTCATATAATGTAATTTCAATTGCAGCATGACAGATTTTGGAAGCGAGACTTGGTTCGGGAAAACTCCTGAAGATGTTCCACTTCTGGGACTGGATGAGTTCAGTGATGAGGTGTATGCAAGCTATACAGGCCCTGAAGATGGGCTGGGATTTGTTTTTAGAGATTCTGGTTAGTCAGTTCTGCTTAGTTATCAGAATTTTCAAATTCATAGCTGGTAATCTATAATTGATATTCTCATTTTTGAGTTGTTTCCCTTTGTGGGGGATTATCTGGGGTCAACCACTTTTTACCACCATAAGGTATTACATTTCCAACATTATGCCAATTTATGTGGCAGTGTCAGACAAATGAAATATATCATTCTATCTACCAGTACATCATTATGTATTTATTTGATAATTTCTTTGTTGTATTAGACTACACTATTGCCATACTTTGCCAATAATATAGAAATAGTAAAAAGTGTTTCAAAAGTGTTTGAATTAATGCTTTAAATATTAACATATATCAACAAAATAATGAATAATTATTGAAAAGCTTTAATGTCGTTCAGAGGCGGATAATGTTTAAGAATGTGAAAGTAACCCATTCTACAACATTTACTGGGCCAGAATTTAATCTGTTAAAGAATACAGTCCACTGCTTGATGATGAACAGTAGAACTATAATATTAGAAAGCAAGCTTCCTCTATAGTCAATAAAGATCCCTGGAGTATATCTTGATAGGTTTTGCTTATACATTAATGAAATTGTCTTGATCTATTAGATGACCTGGGAGTTTAACATTTAAGAGATTTTGATCAATGAGAAAGGAAAATATTAAAGCTCCAAAATTACACAAGTACAGTTGTTTTTGTTTAGTGCTTTATAGACTGTATAAAGGCTTCCAGATAAATGAGATAATATGAAAATGTCACAGTGATAAAATATATATACACATTTGTTTGTACAATACATTATACATATAATTGTAATAACAGTAAGTGTGCACAATGCAGATAAGTAAGTACAAGTAAAATGCAAACTACAAACATTTACATATTATGCCCCCCCCCCCCCTCTTAAATAAATCTTGCTGATTTTTGTCAGTATGTAACCTTTAAACAAAATCTTGTTTAATATACCAACTTTTTAGAAATAAGAATTATAAATTTACTTCAATATTATAGAAACATGAGTCATAAGTTTCCTTCAACTTTATAGAAACATGAATTATAGATTTCTTTGAACAATAATATGCTATTCTATTTAATTAGTAAAAAAATTGTTTGTTAAACAATACATGTACTTGTAGACAGTAGCATTATACCATCCAATACCTACATAGAGGCAGCAGGGGTCAAAAACTGGAACATCAAGGATCAGAAAGCATATGGAATTTGTATTTCTCTGTATGAACAACACCCTGTTAATGGCAAAATGTCAGGTATACAATACTATATACAAATTTTAATTAAAAAAAAAAATTATGTACAAAATTGCAAACTTTTACAGAAAATTACATGGCAGTTCAGTTCTTGAAAGAAGATTTGAAAGATGGAAAATATAAAATGAAGTGAAATGCATCACACAGTCACTTATTACCAGAAACAACAGAATCGGCTAAAATTATTTAATGCAATGGATTCTGAGTGCCATTTATATACACTGCCATTTGCCCAAATAATTTTTAATGTAAGTAAGCGGCAAGCTGCAACTGTGTTGGATGCTCAGTTGTCAGTAAACAATATCTTATTAATATAGAAGAGTCTGATTTGTTTAGAGTCAGATTTGCTTTGAGGAGTTCAAGATTTAAACTGAAACATTGGATAAAGATGTGCATACAGGACATCTGGTGTAAAACATGTAGTAATAGGTTTTAAAACTACATATAGTAAAATGTATCAATTTTTTACCAAGGTGATCCAATTGCTGATGCCTTTGCATTATGTGCGAGGAGGAACAATTGTATCCTGCTGATAGCGGATGGTGTAAACTGGGGAGAGAAGTCTAGACTAGCTGCCAGGTGTGCCTTATACGGAGCCATGAAATACCTCAACCGTAAACTCTTCCAGGAACGGCAGCAACCACAGAATACACAGGTAAGGAGTTAATTTTTAAAGCAAAATGAATCGGTAGGTGAAAATGGGTTTTCTCTAAGAACAGGCTACCAGCCAAATTGACCACTTAAATTGATAAAAATGTCCCCTTGAATTAAAAAATTCAATGTTTAATTGTTAAATCCACAGAGATTTATTCATGAACTTCTTGTCCATAGCCTGATACCCTTTACTTAGAAAAAAAGGCGAGAAAATTGATTGATCTATTTTTTGATCTACTTAACAGCCCGTCTCCGAGAAAAGCATGCAAATTAGTCCGAAAGCAGGTTTCTCCGATTGCCTTCAAATTTTATGAGCTAAATCTACTATGCATAAAATGAAATAAGACAAATTTTTACTGAGCTAATCAAACCCACATACGTTTTATGGCCTGTTACTAAAAATAGCTCATATGCAAGAAAATTTGAGGTATTTTTTTTATTATTTTAGACATATTTGAAGAGAGAAAAAAATTGCAACTTTAAAAATTATTTAAATATTCTGTTTGAAGTAAAAGAATAAAGGTTAGTTCTTTTTAAATACATAGTCAGAGTGATTGACATTCATTTTGTTTTAGTGCAAATAGGTCATGAAATTGGCAATGTTCCAAAATTTGGAAAAAGTGACAATTTTTAGTGGAATTGAAACTATTCTAGTTAAAAGGGGGGATGTTTTAACCCAGTAAATTTTAATGCTTATTGTTAAGAATACCTATGTTAACAAAATATGAAAAAATTACCCTTGGCCAATGTACACTTTAGAAAATATTGAAAGTCAAAGTTTGTTTAATTTTCACATGAATAATTTCAAGGATACAGTTAGCGCTACTAAAAAATAGCTCAAAACATGTCCAAAACCAAAAAAAGTTATTTTCTAGAGTTCTTCCTATCTGTATTACAGAATTTAAACAAACATAGCTCTCAATTTAATACTTAATGACTTTAAATTTTAAAAAATACATGGAAAAAGAGGCCGGGGGGGGGGGGGGGGGACTGGCTATGAATTCTTTATAAACCTCTAAATGGATAAACTTAAGTATAAACCTTTATTATTCAATTATAGCCTTTTGATGAGGTCAATCCCTCGATATATAAACCTTAAAGAAAGCATATCGACCGAGCACGAAGTGCGAGGTCAATATGCTTTCTCTAAGGTATATATATCGAGGGATTATATGGAATCATAAGGCTACAATTGTTTTATTATTTTTTATTAGTTAATAAGAAATGTCTTAAAATCCTTCTTTATAATACCCAGTAACTTCTCATACAAAGCATTGTTATGTCATTGTATTATGACATCACAGTAATGAAAACCAGCTGCAGTATCTGTTTTTAGAAACATCCAGTCTATAAAGACTATTGTGACGTCAGCACTATTGTTGTTTCCAGAAGAACGTTTTCAAATTTAGAAACAGCAGGTTTATAAATTTTAAAAATAGAAACATCCAGCTTGTAACACTTTTTATACTTGATCATGTGATCCATGCAGTTTGAGCCAATCAAATAGTTGGAACAGTAAAGAAAAATAATAACACTTTTTATACTTGATCATGTGATCCAGTTAGAGCCAATCAGATAGTTGGAATAATAAAGAAAATAATAATTACTTTTAATGCATGTATACATACTTGGTCAATATTTACACAAGTGAACCAAGTGAACACATTATTCATCATACTAGTCATTTGATCAACATATTCATTTGAGTGTTAAAGTACAAACAATTTCTGCAAATTTTCAACATCATCTATACAAACATATAGATATTTCAGACAAGTTCTTTTTACTGGGGGAAGGTGAAATGACTTGAAATTTTTTTTTTTTTTGATGAATGTGACACAATACGTCCTCCTTTTTTGGAGCTATTTAGCTATTTATTTTGTTTATAAAATTTCATCATTTGCACTCATTACTTTCTAAGGTGTCGCGAAAATTAAGTGATCTACAGTATTTATTTTGTTTATCATAATTTGCCATAAAACACAATCTGGACATTTACTGCTCTCTAACAATCTTCACGTATCATAGACAAGAAATTTTTTACCAGTTTTTTACTTTCTCACTGTGAAATTTAACCTTATTGTTAAATAAATTCAGAGTGAAATGGACATGTTAACTATTTATAATTTTCCTTTGTTAAAGATTTTTGCAATTTTTTTCCTTCATATTTGACCAAACCAAAAAAAAATTCATTTTCACTTTCAATGCATATTTATTTTTCCTGGGTTACTCAAGTTTGATGATCATTTGAAATAAAAATTCCCAACTGCCTGTTCCTGAACCCTTGAGAGACACGATCATGACAGGGTTGTAATATATAAAAATTAATCAGGTATTACTGTAAATTGGTCAAATAAAGGACATTTGTAATTGGATTTTACCTCTTAATTTAGATTTATTTGATTTTTTACCGGACTCTCTGTAATGCTTTTTTTTACCGACCCGACCTAAATTTTACCGGTAAAAACATTTTATAGACTGATAGACAAGAAATTGTTCACTTTCTGGGAGAATTTGCTGGATTTTGATAAACCAATTCATTTTCCTGTTGGCTCTTACTCCACCAATGCCTGTTCCTGATAGAATTTGTAAATAAGCTTTGAGCATTTTACAAATTTGCTGCCAAATATAAGTTTTACAACTGCCAAATATTTTTCAAAATTGAAAATTCTTTTTGGTCTGATGAATATTAACAGGAGTTATATACATGTATTGATGATTACTACTCTCTTTGCTTGCTGTAGTGTTTCGACAACTTTCACAACTGGTATCATCTTTCACTTGATCAGTCAGATCATGGTTTTATTGAAATGGCTTTTCAGTTCTGCTCCATTGTTCCTGCTTTCTTGGAAAAACTGCATAACCTATGAAACAAAATGTACCATGAAATGAAAAGAAATATGTCCTCCTTCTTTGCGTATATATCAGTAAAATATGATGACAGAAAGAATAATTTTTTGTACATGCATAAGTAACTGCTAAATGGAGGAAAAGTGAAGTTTGATCTTTGGAAAGGTCTACGTAAGAAAATAATGACAAAATGATTGCTATCATCAACACTGATTGTAAGAATATTAAGTTTATAATTAAAACAAGAGGCCCATGGGCCATATCACTCACCTGAGCACCGTGGCTAGCATAAAAGCAGAAATTAGTTTATTATTGAAAAGTTTAAACCCAAAAGTAGTCCCAATCATTCCTAAAAGGCGAGAGGGTATGATTTGCACAAACTTGAATCAACACTACCCGAGAATGCTTCCACATAAATGCATGTATGACCAATCATGGCTTTGCTATTCTTAAAAAGGTTCTTGAATTTTGTTATGTATTTCTATGTAAAACTTTGGTCAGCCATTTTTGCCCCGCCCTACCCCTGAGGGTCATGATTTGAACAAATCTGAATCTACACTACGTGGGGATGCTTCCACATAAGTTTCAGCTTTCCTGGCACAGTGGTTCTTGAGAAGAAGATTTTTAAAACATGCCACCTTATTTTCATTAATTCCCAATTATCTCCCCTTGAATGAGGGTGTGGCCCTTCATTTGAACAAATTTGAATTCCCTTCACCCAAGGATGCTTTGTGGCAAGTTTGGTTGAAATTGGATTAGCAGTTCTTGAGAAGAAGTCAAAAATGTGAAAAGTTTACAGACAGACAGATGGACAGACAGACAGTAGACGGACAGACAGACAAACGGCGGACAAAATGTGATCAGAAAAGCTCACTTGAGCTAAAAACTTCTCCTATACATTTCTATGTAAAACTTTGGTTGGCCATTGTGGCCCCGTCCTAGGGTAGATCATTCACATTTACACTTAGAATTGATCTGTTGATAATTAAATTAGTGTGATCAAGAGAATAGCAACCAGAAGTCTCTGTCGAGACTGTAGCTCTACTGGTTTATACTTAAAACAAAGGAAAAGGAAGTAGCAGTTGGGACTTGAAAATTTAAAATAGCAATGAATAGAAAAATGATACTTGCCACTCATCAAAATAAAAACCGATGCACAGAATTATGTATCTTAGTAAAGTCTACTTGTGTGCCAAGTTATATTGAAATCGGACCAAAACTGTAGGTTGAGTAGCATTTGGAAAGAATTTCACAGAAATTTCTATTTTTAGTAACCATGGCAACATCGTTCAACGAAAGCAAAAACCGATGCACAGAATTATATATCTTAGTGTAGTCTACTTGTGTGCCAAGTTATATTGAAATCAGACCAAAACTGTAGGAGGCGTAGCATTTTGAAAGAATTTCACAGAAATTTTTATTTTTAGTAACCACTGCAACACCGTTCAGTGAAATCATAAACCGATGCACAGAATTATGTATCTTAGTGTAGTCTACGTTTGTGCCAAGTTATACTGAAATCAGACCAAAACTGTAGGGGGAGTAGCATTTTGAAAGAATTTCACAGAAATTTCTATTTTTAGTAACCATTGCAACACTGTTCATCAAAATCAAAAACCGATGCACAGAATTATGTATCGTAGTGTAGTCTACTTGTGTGCCAAGTTATATTGAAATCGGACCAAAACTGTAGGAGGAGTAGCATTTTGAAAAATTGTTTACAGACAGACAGACAGATGGACGGACGACGGACGCATTACTATTGCATAAGCTCTTCTGGTCTCTGACCAGTAGAGCTAAAAATCAGCTCTTGATGTACCAAACAAAGTAAGAAATCACTGGCTTTATCATTATGACAAAACTGTGTCACTGAACATGCTGAATAGCGCTATTAAAGAGCATTTGACTATTATAATAATTGTTTTTTTTTTTCATATATAAGACTTCTAAACAATTCTTACCATTTACATCTGGATCAGGACACTTGTCTTTTAATGTATTGGGTCCAAAAAAATCCTCTGCATGTTGACAAAGTTGCTAGAAGAAGTGAAAGTTAATAGTAAATTATTTATAACTTTACCCAGGTTTGTTATACAATTTGAATAATTTTGACCTCTCCAACATATGGTATACTAATTAAATATCATATTGTGCATGTTTAAATGTTCTGTATAAACTTTCTGTTTAATATGAGTTCATATTATCATGACCCATTACCTTTCTAAAATATCAGTTTTGCAAAAATGTGTATTCATTTGAATACATTAATTGTTAAAGTAAATATGATAGAAAAATATGTGTGATAGTATTTGGATAAAAAACCTTTCCTTCTTTGAATACATGGTACTTTTATATATACTCTTTAATTAAGACTTATTTTGAGTAGCAAACTATTCCACTACTTGCACAATACCACAATTCAAAAGCATAAATTACATCTATGCGAATCGAATCATATGTGCAGTTGAATGTTGAATATTTTTTTAATTAGAGAAGTTACAATTTTTACTCCATCTCTTAACAACTGTTTGAACTTTCTTAATTTCTTTACAAAAGTATACATGTATGACATATCGAACAATAAACACGACTGTTCCTAGTTAGAACATTTTCATTCATTATTTAAATTTCTATTACAATTTCTATATAGGTCACTGTAGGTATTGAAATAGGAGCTGCAACTTGGATGTCCAATTTTTTTTTATTGCAGAATTATTTCAAGAACAGAGAAAAAATATTTATAATCTTCTGTTGTTCATATTTGCTGCATTGCAATGAAAGAACTTTTTATAACCTATGATTGAAGCAAGATTGAATTATCGTTGTCCTGTACAATATTGATTTCTTAAATAATTCTATATTTGCCTGTACAGAAGTCTTTCTTCTAAAACACTTTAATACTTCATTTTAGTCTTATTGAGAGTACAGGTTTTAATTTAAATACAAATCTAACATTATAATACATTATATAATTTTTATGGCAAAATAAAATTCTTAAAAATGCAGCTCATATTGCTTGAAGTAGAGATCAGATATTTGGCCTACCTGTCAGCATGGTCAGATCCTTCAGTTTCTCGTCAACCTCAAGGTAGCAGAAGTTTGTTATTCTTCTTCGCCTTTTTTACCATGTTAAACCCCCCCCCCCCACGTTATCCGTATGTCTTGGATAGATTCATAACTTTAAATATACCACCGTGTACATGGTCAACATGGTCATGAGAAAAAATCCACATTTCACAATCAATCCTCCAGTCGGTCTATAACTTTTTCCCATACAACCTGATACTATAGCATCTCGGTCGGAGCTTTAAAGAAGCGCAAACAGTGAGGTGGATCCTTGATACTGTCATACAAATAAAATACATACACGGCACGAAATGTATAAAAAATCTCCGAAGTTGCATTGTCCTCTTGGTGACCCTTACACATTGGAATGTCATTTCCGCCTTTTTCACATGAAGACTTCCACAACGGGAGATAACTCTTATGCACACTTACTCATTCTTGTCATCTTATTTTCTTTTATCATTTTTGGAGTAATTTTAAGTTTTATCAACTTTTAAATTTTTACAGCCTTTTTAAATATAAATTCAGACTAAAATATTTTTATTGGTCATCAAATGAATCCATATTAATGGTATTTGATTAATTCTATGGTACAAAATGAGATCTTTGCAAACATGCTTAGGTCATCATTTCAACAATTTATAAAATATATCTGCACTAAATAGCCAAGGGTGAATTTTTCATATTTGATAGAACATAAATCAATTATTATTAAAAACTTTATTTGATCAAATTATTTTATCCCTCACCGCTGTACCACTGTACTAAATATCCATAACAATTCTGAATTTCCAAACTTCGCCTAACATATGGCTTCAGTATAGACTGCAGATAGTTGTAATCAATATTGAAAATAGATATTTGTAATTTTTGACATATATGTATTTATGAAATAATAAAATACTGTATTTAAAATAATTATGCAGTGACTTTATCGGGCCTCAAAATTTCCTATTTTTACCTTCTATATAATGCCAATCATTGCTAAATATAGAAATTGGGTTGTTACTAAAAATAGATGCATGTGACACACTTTTACAATTTATTTTTTATATCCTAATACAACCCAGATCTTAAAAATATATGACAAGATGAAAAGCTTTATACACCCTTTTGGACATTTTTTCAGATTTTGCATGTTTTTCTCAGAGACAGGCTGTTAAAAAAAATATATCCTCATATTCACCTGGATGGTCACATGCAGGTGAATATAACACAGCATTTTATCAACATTGTTGGATCTCATCCAATTCCAATTACTGGTAAAGGGACAGGTATTACTCAATCACATATCAAAATATTTAGTCTTGTTGTCATTGTGTTTTTGTAGGAGGCCCTTGTGTTGCTGCGACAGGCTTTTGATGCAGCCCATTCGACTATCCTTGATAGGGATGGGGGTCTCACAACCATGTGTGCCTGTATGGTTTGTCCTGTGAAAAATTCTAAACAGTTTGCTGTCTGCTGTGTAAATGTAGGGGACAGCTACGGTTATCTGTTTAGTCATCGCTACGGTATCAGGGAGCTTACAATTGGATCCCATGACATAACCTCAGAGCGAGACATTCGGGATGCAGGTGGTGCTATTGGTCCAGTATCTGGTAGTAATCCAGAGTTACAGAATCTAACATGTTCTCTATCATTTTGTGAGGGAGGTGATATTGTGTTCTTAACAACTGATGGTATATCAGATAATTTTGATCCAGTTGTGACAAAAGCTGCATTGCCAAGAAAAATAAATGATGCCAACAGCAATGATCTTTCTTCAAACTCCATGAATTCTGGGAAACCTGAAATGGAGCCCAGCGAGAGACATTTGTATGCTATGAAACAAATGGAGAGGGTTGTGTATGAATTTGAACTTGTGACAGAGGAGCAGTGCTCAGCTCAAGAATTATGTGGAGCCTTAGTTCAGCATGTACTCTGTCTCACAGACGCTAAGAGGAAAATATTGGAGAATCCCAAGCTATATGTAAGACGGAGGCTCACTCAAAAGGAGAAGGAAAAACGAGATTCTGAAATTGTAAATCAAATGGCAAAAGCCCCAGGGAAATTAGATCATGCTTCCATTGTGGCCTTTGAGGTCGGCGTTATGAAAAGGAATGAAGAGGAAATGGAAAATATCCCACTGATTGAAACCGTGCAGGGCTTGGAATCGGTTTCAGAGTCTGAAGAATGCCCATCAAGTTCAGGACCCTTGTCTCCCACCCACAAAAAATCACGTCCAAGGAAACTATTCGCAAGGATTAAAAATCTTAGTGTTAACACAAATGGACATAGTTCTTCTAGTCCTGTCACTAGTCCTAAAAGTGCTCCTATGTCACCCAGGAAGATCTCATTCAAAAGGTCGAGATCAAAAACAGCAGAGACGACCTCTCCAATGAGCCCTGAGCCCACCTCCCCCTCAGAAATCCCCTCCCCACCCCTAGTCAGTCCTTCCAGTCTCTTTCCTGTGCCCGCCCCTCGCAGAAAACACCGTCAGACTTCTCGTGAATCATCAGTGTAATACTGTTTAATATATATGCTACATTATATCAGCATGCTGCTCAACAGATTATAATATTGTCAAGGGAGTATTTATTAATATTTTATTTATGGTCATTGAAATTTTAGGCATTTACTAATGACTGCAGGGTATACACTAATCAATTAAGTATTATGGATGTAATGTTTTACATGTAATTATGATGTTAGAGTTTATTTGATGCAAATTCTGAACATTTTAACCATGCATTCAATGATAAAAGTTAAAATGGACAGAGGTGCTTTTTAAAAAAAAAAAATAACAAGGATTAGTTTTAGACTTACAAGAATATTTTAGATGTATTGTTTAACAAATTACGAAGAGTACAGTAAAATCAAAAGCTCAAGGGATGGTTTACTAATAAACTACAACAGTATTAAGAAAAACAGTAATACATTGTTAAAAGAGCTGTACAAGTACTGATGAGCCAAGATTTTATGAAAGTTTTATTTGTGAACTCTCTCCCTGAACAGATGTATCTGCATGTAGTATATTATTTTAAAACAAGGTAAAAGTGTTACTTTCAGTAGCAATTGACTCTTTCAGTCCATTTTTGTAACTATTTCTATTTAATAAAATTTTAGTATACCGATATTGAGTTATTTGATTTCATGCTGGTAAAATATGTAAAGTAAACAAATTTTAAATTATTGCTTGTAAAATATATAAATATACATAAATCATGGCTGGGTTGTTTATTCAATGTATGCAGAAGTGCTAATTCAGAGTAGGACCATAGAAAACTGTTTGTCACAGCATATATGCAACACAGGGAACAGATGGCCAAAAGTATGGAACAATGTTACAGATTCTAATTTACACTACCAAAATAATATTGATCTAAAAACTTAAGAATTGGTTGGGAATTCAATGATGTGGAATTCTAAGTAATGTATGTCAAAATATCCCTCACTAGTGTGATACATGGGAATTTTCTAAAAATGTATATTCAAATTTTTTATCTTCAAAAATCAATAACATTAAATAAAAAATATAATTTAACACTTTATAGCATTCCTCACAAAATATTTGAAAACTCAACTCTATATTTCTTAGCGAACTCGAAATGAAAGACACCAATATGAGAGGTAATACAATTAAAGGAGTCTGAAGTTTGAATATATAGTCCAAAAAAAAAAAAAAAAATCCAGAAAAAAATTTCCCACATTTGAGGTTTGAGGGTTAGAATTTTTTTTCCGGATATATTTTTTTTTTTTTTTGAAGATAAAAACTTCAGACCCCTGTGGATGCAACTAATAGCTACATGTACATGTATATTGTATGACAAACGAAACTTTAGCTTTCTATCGTCAGCTTTCCCAGTTTATGTAGTACTACTCGCCTATCAACTGCATATGGCATTCATATCTTCCAGACAGGCAAGTGGTAAATAAATTGGTGTTACAGGGATATCAATAACATTCTTTAAAGTCAGTATCTCGTTGATTCTATATGATCTAAAAATGACATTTTTTGCAAATACAACCTATCACTGGGACGTATTTTGAGTGACATCTAATTCATTCCGTTTATATTTAATTTGACTACGGAATACTCTGTCTTCCTGATCAATACATGGAACTCTTGGTGGGTGTGTCCGGTCGAGAAGGAATATATTTATTCATCTTAGGCACGAGCTCACTTTTGATCTCAGTTTCACTTTTTCAAAAGGAATTGGTGGAAAAGTGAGACTTAGATCAAGAGTGAGCTCACCTCAGTTTTATGGCCTCAGAGTCTAATCGCACCTCTGGACTTTTCAGGTGTACGTTTTTACCTTCCCTTGAACAGAATTGTATTTTTGAAGGGTTTTTGAGAGTTAAACTCTTTCTTGAACGCTTTCTTTCACAAAGAAAAAACCGTATAAACCGAAGTTCCGTGTCGCAGTAGATGTTGGCACAAAAAAGATCCCTCCCTGCTTAATGGCCCAGAGTGCCGAGTATAGGACAAAATTTGCAGCTCTCCACCGGCAAGTGGTGGCGTCTCCATGTGAGTGAAAAATTCTCGAGAGGGACGTTAAACAACATACAATCAATCACAAAGTTTCCGATCTGGCTTTTATCTGACCACACTGTCTCCGACATACATAACGAACCCGAAATGAAAAACCCCACGGAAGCAGCTACATGTACATTTTTGTCCCCCGCTTGAAAAGTGGGGGATATTAATTTGGGTTTGTCCGTCCGTCCGTCCGTCCGTCCGTCCGTCCGTCCGTCTTTCTGTCTGTCTGTAACGCTTTCGTTTCCACACGATATCTCGAGAACCCTTAGAGCTTTTGCAATGAAATTTAGCATGGCAACTCCCTATGCACTAAAGAAGACCCCTATTGATTTTGAGGTCAAAAGGTCAAAGGTCAAGGTCATAAATAAGCAAATTCTGTCTGTTAAAACACTTTCGTTTCCACACGATATCTCGAGAACCATTTAAGCTATTGCAATGAAATTTTATATAACAACTCCCTGTGGCCTAATGAAGACCCCTATTGATTTTGAGGTCAAAAGGTCAAAGTTCAAGGTCGTAAATTTATACATTCTGTCTGTATGTAAAACTATCATTTCCGGGCGATATTTCAAGAAGATTTTGAGCTTATGCAATGTAATTTTATACCAAAACTCCCTAGGACGTCTCTTGCCCCTCTCAAAGTGCCCCGTCCCGTTTGTTTTATTAGTATTTATCAGGTTGGGACCAATCGCCCAAATGGGATATAATAGTCCGTTTGGGATATAATATCCCAAATGGGCTATAAATCTACAGTGCAAAAATTGAAATTTTGTATTGTGGCAATAAATATCATAAATCCGCATCAAAACACTTTAAAAAGGAATAACTTTTGGTAAGCAAGTTTTATTGCAACCCTACAGTTTGTAAGATTGATCCCCAAGAAGTAAAGGAACTTCCGAGGGATCAATCTCCTAAACAATGGGCATACAGGAAAACTTGTCAACCAAAAGTTATTCCTTTTTAAGTGTTTTGATGCGGATTTATGATATTTATTGCCACAATACAAAATTTCAATTTTTGCACTGTAATTTTATAGCCCATTTGGGATATTATATCCCAAACGGACTATTATATCCCATTTGGGCGATTGGTCCCAACCTGTTTATAGTATTACATGTCGCTATTTTTAGCGCAGGGGCATGAGGAGAGTTATTGCGTATAAAACAGGTTCTTGGCGGACTTTATGTTCTTATTACATCTATTAGAACTGTTTAATAAAGGCTAAATAAATCAAACACCATGGATTGTGTAAAATTTTGAGAATACCGAACATGAAAACATGAATATATACATGTATGTGACTTCAATTCTGCATATACTTCACAGCGCGTAAAGCGATTCCGTGGTCTAGGGGTTATGTCTCTCGCTTCAAATGTGAGAGGTCCCGGGATCGAATCTCGGCCGAGCCTTTCTTTTTTTTTTGTTTAAAATACTTTTTTTTTGACTAAATGATAGTATTCAGCATGTGAAATGAAAAATTTATGAGGTTATAAAATCATCATTACAGTGTGATAAACATTCCATATAAAAAAATCTTCTATACACATGATAAAGAATAAGTAATCAAATCTTTATATACATATTGACATACATGTATTTTATTTGCTTCAGTATACATGTATACATACATTTAATAATTCTACAAATTCAGTCAGGGGGAGCCGACTTTTTCCCTAAGCGGGGGACACGAATTCTCTGAATTAGCTTGTTTGTATAAAGATACTTCACTGTAAACATAGATCTGCTCTTCTATATAGTCGACTTCCTCTATTTTCTTTTAGAAATATAATGTATTCCATTATCATCTGCATGTGATGCTTACCAACCTGTTGTTGCATTTGTCGTGTGCCCTCCAAAATGATTTTTTATCCAAGCATGTTATAGAATTTCAAAATACACATGAAGATAGCATGTTCTAGGTACTACGCAATGAAGTTTTAAATCGAGGCAAGATACCCGGTATACCGTTAAAAAGTTGACTGTGGGAAGGGGTTTTCAACATTCCCCTTTAAAACGAGCATTTTGCAATTTCTATGATTTTATATAAAACTTCTTTTTAAATAGGCCTGCATCCTATTCTGACGGACGTGTTTCAAACCAGGCCACTTCCCCTTGATTTTGAATACGGATTACTCTGAACATACTTTATCAATACAGGGAACGCATGGCGGGTGTAACTTGATTTCAACAGATGTTTACCTCTCCGAGGCTTCTGGTGATGTTTCCCAGGTGTCCGCTTTTTGTCCCCCGCTTGAAAAGTGGGGGATATTAATTTGGGTTTGTCCGTCCGTCCGTCTTTCTGTCTGTCTGTAACGCTTTCGTTTCCACACAATATCTCGAGAACCCTTTGAGCTTTTGCAATGAAATTTAGCATAGCAACTCCCTATGGACTAAAGAAGACCCCTATTGATTTTGAGGTCAAAAGGTCAAAGGTCAAGGTCATAAATAAGCAAATTCTGTCTGTTAAAACACTTTCGTTTCCACACGATATCTCTAGAACCATTTGAGCTATTGCAATGAAATTTTATATAACAACTCCCTGTGGCCTAATGAAGACCCCTATTGATTTTGAGGTCAAAAGGTCAAAGTTCAAGGTCGTAAATTTATACATTCTGTCTGTGTGTAATACTGTCATTTCCGGGCGATATTTCAAGAAGATTTTGAGCTTATGCAATGTAATTTTATACCAAAACTCCCTAGGACGTCTCTCGCCCCTCTAAAAGTGCCCCGCCCCGTTTGTTTTATTAGTATTTATAGCATTACATGTCGCTATTTTTAGCCAGGGGCGTAGTATCCGGGGGGGCCAGGGGGGGGCTGGCCCCCCCACTTTTTTTCCTAACCTTACTTACACTATAGGAAATGTGAATTGAAAGCCTGGTTGGTCCCTCCACTATTAGAAATGTAACGAAAATGTAGTATAAGAATTGGTACTAAAAGTAGTTGACACTGAGAAAAATTATACCTAACCCCCCCCCCCCCCCACCCCCCACCCCCCTCCACGAAATAGGATTTTCGACTTCGGGCAACTTTTACCTTTTACCTTTTTTTTTTCTTTTTTTTTGCTTGTCAACTTTTTCAGGTAAGTAAAAAAAAAATTTTCTCTGCCTGCCCCCCCCCCCCACTTTCAAAAACGATGCTACGCCACTGTTAGCGCAGGGGCATGAGGAGAGTTATTGCGTATAAAACAGGTTCTCGGCGGACTTTATGTTCTTATTACATCTATTAGAACTGTTTAATAAAGGCTAAATAAATCAAACACCATGGATTGTGTAAAATTTTGAGAATACCGAGCATGAAAACATGAATATATACATGTATGTGACTTCAGTTCTGCATATACCTCTCCCCGTGTAAAGCAATATTGTGGTCTAGTGGTTATGTCTCTCGCTACAAATGTGAGAGGTCCCCGGATCGAATCTCGGTCGATCCTATCCTTTTTTTTTTTTTTTACTAAATGATAGTATTCAGCATGTGAAATGAAAAATTTATGAGGTTATAAAATCATCATTACAGTGTGATAAACATTCCATATAAAAAATCTTCTATACACATAATAAGGAATAAGCAATCAAATCTTTATATGCATATTGACATACATGTATTTTATTTGCTTCAGTATACATGTATACATTTAATAATTCTACAAATTCAGTCAGGGGGAGCCGACTTTTTCCCTAAGCGGGGGACACGAATTCTCTGAATTAGCTTGTCTTTACACTGTTTGCATTTTGTATTGTTTATAAGATTATGAAATTGACAACTGTTAGCTATCTTGACATTTTCATGTTTCTCCTTTTTGCGTTGCAATACGCTGGGTCCTTTCTGATACATTATACTTCTGCACGTGTTCTGTATTTGATTTGATTCCATATTGACAAATATGACAAAGACTGTATAAGGAAATATAATGTATTGTTTATTTCATAATAATGAAGTTTTTCTTCATGCGTATTTTGAAATTCTATAAAATATTGCCAAATATGGAATTTTATTTTACCATGAACGCGAAGAGTTTGATTTGGTCTTGAGCTGAGAGAGTACTGATGGTGTACAAAACAAGCTTGTTATGTTGTTTTTATTTATCATAAAACAAAATGTCACAGAGGAAAACGTCTTTAAACTAAGGGGCAATTTGATTGATATATAAAGATTTCAATCCAATAGGGTTTCAGGAAAACTGTTGATTACTAGTATACTTTAAAATACTACAAATGATGAAAATTAACGCAATATGTCTCCTGCCTACATACATGTATGACTACAAATAACTAATAAACTGTAACGTGAGTTTGTTTCTCCATTTTTTGGGGAGGGGGGTTTCTAGGATTTGAAACAAGTCATACAAAGGCGTAAAAATAATATATTGACAGACCGGAGAGCTACAGTGCCATCCATTGAAAATGTGTATATTTATTGCGCACAAAGATTTTTTCTCCGTGTTTTTCAAACTGCCATCTCAAAATACTCAGCATTAGTTTCTAACTTATTCTTTTGCTATTTTCACAACAAAACATTCCTTTTAATCTTTGTAAATAGTCCTTAGTTAGTCCTCTTCGTGCTTTGAGCACATAAGACCTGCACCGAGGACCTCCATCTCTGTCTGTCTGCTGCCATTGTCTGTACAGTGCCCCAAGTCCACCCCTGATCATTCATTTCCTTTTCAACCGACTGTCGCCATGTCTCCTTTTGTCGCCCTCTGTTTCTCTTTCCTGGTGGAGTCCATCGTAGGGCTACCCTTGGTATCTCTGATGGTTTCATCCTCATCACATGGCCAATCCATTTCCATCGTCTTTCTTTAATCTTGTCAGATATAGCAGCTGTGTGTGTTCTTTCATACACTCCTCATTGGTGATCTTGTTTGGCCAGAATATCTTGAGTATTCTACGGAGACATCTTGTTTGGAAGGTATCCAGTTTTTGCGAGATGTTCTTTGTCACCTTCCATGACTCAGATCCATAGAGAAGGACTCCAAAGACATTTGTTTTGAATATCCTTATTTTGGTTTTGGATCTGATAATTGAGGATTTCCAGATGTTCCGTAGCTTGGCAAAGATGGCACGGACTTTTGAAATTCTATTTTCTACGTCCATGGTGGAATCTCCATTGGCTGTGATCTTACTGCCAAGGTATATAAAATTGTCTACTTCTTCTATTCTGTTGTTGTTTGCTGTGACTTCTTTACCTATCTTTGTATTTATCTTCATTAGCTTTGTTTTGTTTACATTTATCTTAAGTCCAATTTGTCTGCCATACTTGACCAGGTCATCAGTTTTGCTTTGAATATCTTTGTATCGCTGTGATAGTAATGCGATATCATCTGCAAAGTCAAGATCTTCTAATGACTGTTGAAATGTCCAGGATATTCCTCTACTGGTCTGACTGGTAGTAAATTTTCATAACCCAGTCTATGCAGAAACTAAACAGCAATCATCCCTGTCGTACCCCAGTTTGGATTGGGAAGCTTTCTGTTAGTTCTGTGCCGCAGATCACCTTTGCCTGGAAGTCCTTGTAAAGCATCTGAATGATGGATATGATCTTGTTAGGGATGTCATGATGTCTGAGGATCATCCATAAAGCAGGACGATGTATACTGTCAAATGCTTTGGCAAAGTCGATGGAATTGGCATACAACGTAGCATTCCTTTCATTGCTTTCTTCTAGAATTTGCCTCAAGGAAAATATCTGGTCTGTGCATGATTTTCCTTTTCTAAATCCAGCTTGTTCTTAACGAAGGTATGGGTCTACCACTGAGGCCATTCTGTTTAATATGACTCTGCTTAAGACTTTGCTGGTAACTGACAACAACATAACCCCTCTCCAATTATTTGTGTCAGCTAGGTCACCTTTCTTCGGCAGCTTCACCATGAGACCAACCTTCCAATCATCTGGTGCTGTTTCTGTCTGCCAAATAGTTTGCAGGATATCTGTGAGAAGTCTGGGTGTTAATACTTTCTCAGCTTTTAACATTTCTGCATGTACTTGATCGATCCCTGGGGCTTTCCCATTCTTAAGAAGTTTGATGGCATGTTTTACTTCCTCAATTGTTGGTGTGTTGGTATCAATGTCCAAAGTGTCTATAGCTTCAATAATTTCAGCATGTTCTGTTGATAGACATTCCTGGTTTAATACCCTTTCAAAATGCTCTTTCCAACAGATAAGCTCTTCTTCTATACTAGAGGCCAATACTCCATCTTGTTTTCGCACTGGTGTATCTGTGCTTTTAAATCCTGCACTCAGAGATTTTGTAATGCGATATAATGCCCCCATGTCTTGTTTCGAGGCAGTATTTTCTGCATCTTGCGCAAGCTTGTCAACGTAATCTTTCATGTCCTTTCGTGCACTTTTCTTAACTTCCTTGTCTTGTATTGTGTATGTTTCTTTTAGCTGATCTTTTAGCCTAGCTGACTTGGCTGTTAGTATTTTCTTCTTTGTTTTGCATCTTAGTTCCACCATTTCTTAGGTCTTAGATGATATCCATTCTTTCTTCTTCTTCCTTTTCAACCCCAGTGTTTTCTTTCCTGCAAGTGTGGTGTTAAATTGTTCAATACTGAGTTCTTGTTCACCTTTTAGGATGGTAAATCGGTTTTTAACCTCCAGCTGAAATGATTTCATGAGTGCAGGATCTTTGAGTTTGCTCACATCCACTTGAGGTGACCGTTGTTCCCCTTTCTTTATCTTTCTTAATTTCAATTTCAGCTTTACTAGGACAAGGGTGTGGTCACTTCCTACAACAGCCCCTCTCAATGCCCTCACATCCTGCAGTGTACCTCTCCACCTTTTGTTAATCAGTACATGATCAATTTGGTTCTGTGTGTGACCATCTGGTGAAGTCCATGTTAGTTTATGGATGTTCTTGTGCTGGAAGATGGTGCCTCCAATAACTAACTTATTTTCTAGGCAGAAATCTACTAGTCTACTACCATTGTTGTTAATCACCCCACATCCATGTTTTCCCATAATGGATTCTTTTCCTTTATTGTTGGTACCAATTTTCGCATTCAGATCACCAAGTATGATGAGTATATCATGAACTGGTGTTTCCTCCACAGCTCTCTGCAGTTCTTCATAGAAAGAATCCTTTTCTTCTTCTTCTTCTTTGTCTTCTGTAGGCGAGTAGCAGACTATAACCGTCAGTTAAGCATATTTTGAATGGAGTCTTGCAGAAAGGAGTCTGTCGCTGTATGGTTTCCAACCTAACATGCACATTCCTAGTTTCCTACTGAGTATTAAGCCTACTCCACTGCTGTGCTGTTCGTCGTTTCTTATAGTCCTTGTGTGCCTGAAATTGAAGCTATCGAAATTTTTGCCTATATACATTGCCATTTTGGACGACAAGATGATTCGGTCGAATGCGTTTCTGCATAGATCAAATATGAAAGTAATTAATAGAGACTCAAAGGAATATTTTGAAATCGAACTTTTGTACGGTCGAGGTAAGAATTTAGATTATATAAATTATTCACATATCTTTTTTGAATAACTAATATTTGAAGTTTAGGATTACTTATGATTATTGACCCCTTATGTCTTGTAATAAACTGAATTGATTTATTGATTATTGTTTTTTTTTTTTTTTTTACACCGAGTCGGCAATATTTCAGCCATATTTCAGCGGTAAACTGAATTGAAGAAGAAAGGAAATAAATTCTTTAAAAAAGATTATATACATGTGTATGTACTTGTGGCGGAAGCTTTTCAACGTATTTTAAAATTTTCTATTTGTAACACTGACTTATAATAAGCAACTTAAATTCGTAAATCTTTTTCCTTCCGACTTGGAACCATCTTTTAAAACATTACTCAGAAATAAGTGACACAAAGAAGTCTTCATAAATAAATGATGAGATAATGTTATTTTTTGATCAAGTTGAATTTTTCAGATATAACTTTCAAAGTGTGTTAAAACTGGACGTGCCGATGGTGTAATTTTACTTTGGATTTTGCCTGATTGTATTTTTGTTAAGATCCCGATCAAACGTAAACTGTATTGGTTGAATTTCCACATTTCATTTGACAATATTGTATAATCTGAGTTATAGGTAACAGGAATCATTATGATTAAACATTTGGGAGTCTAAGGATGGTTTAATATAAGTATTTTTTAGGTGTGAAACGTAAACAATCCCCGATTCAAGGGGGGGGGGGGTTAAAACGCAGAAATCTAAAGCCAGACATACTAAACCGTTTTAAGTTTTGTTTCCGAAAATTTTTATTAACCTTGAAGAAGGTACATATATATTTGGCCAAAATTGAATAGTCTTCAAATGGTATTTCAATCACGAGAATTAAAGAGACATGGACACAGTTTCAAATGAATTTTTTTAAAACTAATTTTAATGTTTGCAATTCCTTACTAAGGTAATTCTAATGATGTTGTGTGATGTGTTGTATTTGTATTGTTTCATTATGTATATAATTAGTAACATTAAGTTTCTTGAACATTCCAGAGTGGTCAACATGTTTGGTCATTTTATCTAGAACATTCTTAAATTTTTTTGTATGTCCAGATTGTTCCAGTAATATCATGTTTTAACAATTTCTAGAATATTCTAGATTTATATTACTGTATAAATACCCTGTCAATTCGATGCATAGAAATACTTTGTCGTATAAGCACTATTGAGATATAAATGGGATATATTTTCACTGGGACATTGTGTGCAGCAACGGACACTCTGATGTATGTATTTTTAGATTCTTGCTAAGTTTGTACTTTATGTTTGATATATTTATTATATATTACTGTAAATAAATTATTGTTAAGTTAAAATTGTGTTATTGATCTTTGCTGGCATTTCGGGTAATTCTGACCCATAACAGAATTGGGGGCTCGTCCGGGATAAAGAATTTCTTGCACTTTTGCAGTTTATTGTCAGAATTTTGTTTATTGAACCGTTAAATTTGATTATAAGCCAGCAGAAATCAACATGGTATTTTCGGTCACAGACTTTCTTAGTTCACCAAGTGTTCAGGTTTTTGATACGTTAAAAAAGGATGACTTGATCGCATTAGGTTTGCATTTTGGGTTAGATGTTAAATCCTCTCAGAGAAAGCAAGACATTAGAATTAAGGTTGCAAACAAACTAGTAGAAGAAAACGTCTTTGAAAAATACGATCTTCCAGAATATACAGTTAAATCAGAGTTAGGCTCTTATAAAATGGCAGAATATCAGTTTCAAGTAGAGTTAGAGAAAATGCGATTAGAAAGAGAAAAATTAGAAAGAGAAGATCGAGAAAAAGAAAGAGAAGAGCTAGAAAAAGAAAGAGAAGAGCGAGAAAGAGAAAGAGAAGAACGAGAGCATGAACGAAAATTTGAATTAGACAAATTAGCAGCAGAAAGAGAAGAGCGAGAAAGAGAGCGTGCAATGAACTTTGAATTAGAGAAATTAAAATTACAAAACCAACCAGAACCGTCAGTTGTCAAAACTGAATTTGACGCAGCAAAAAATATCAGATTAGTTCCAAAATTTCAAGAAAAATCTGTAGACAAATATTTTCCCCAATTTGAAAAGGTCGCAGAGAATCTTAAATGGCCACGAAATGTTTGGTCAACAATGTTACAAAGTGTACTGGCTGGAAAAGCGGCTGAGGTATACTCTGCACTAGGGGTAGTTGAGAGTTCAGACTATGAGAAGGTCAAAGCAGCAATATTAAAAGCCTATGAATTAGTACCTGAAGCGTATAGACAAAAGTTCAGAAAGTATAGAAAGTTTGATAATCAAACATTTGTTGAATTTTCACGAGAGAAAGAAGATTTATTCGATCACTGGTTTAGATCTAAGAAACTTGATAAAACTTTTGCTAATTTGCGCCAAGTCATCCTAGTAGAAGAGTTTAAGGAATGTGTTCCTCAAGATTTGAAAACACATTTAGAAGATAAGAATGTGAAAACTCTTGAAGAGGCAGCAGTCATATCTGATACTTATGCTCTGTCTCATAAAAAGAATTTTGTTTCAAGATCTCAGACTAGCAGTAATTCTACCAATTCAGACACATATAAAAAGAGTGGTTCAGGGTCTCAGTCTTTCACAAGTTCCCAGTCTCCATCCCAAGGTGGTTTTAAGTCCGGTCCAGGACGTGTTGAAGGATCGTCTGGAATAGGGTCGCTTCCCACTTGTAGTTATTGTAAGAAAAAGGGTCATCTGATCAGTGAATGCTTTAAACTTAAGAGAAAAAATGATTTTGATAAAACTCAACCACATGCTTGTGCGGCAGTTAGAGGTGATAGAGAAGCCTTAGTTTCGATTTGTTCTGACACTCCTGATGTCCAGGGTTCACAGTCCAATTCTATTGATTCTATGGAGGATTATAAGCCCTTTATGTCTCAGGGATTTGTTTCACTCGGTGACTCTAGCGAAATAAAACCTGTCCAGATTTTGAGAGATACTGGTGCTGCACAGACGTTATTGTTAGAGGGCGTGCTTCCTTTGTCTGAGCAGACTTCTACTGGTGGGTCAGTTTTATTACAGGGTGTGGAGCTAGGCGTCATTGATGTTCCCCTGCATAGAATTAGTTTGAAGTCAGATTTAGTTACTGGACCTGTTATCGTAGGTGTTCGACCTACTCTTCCCGTTCCAGGCATTTCTTTGTTGTTAGGCAACGATCTAGCAGGTGGAAAAGTTGGACCAGATCCTATAGTTTGTGAGAAGATCACTCCAGATGTCATGTATAATGATGAAGATGATGACATTTATCCAGCCTGTGCTGTTACTAGAGCGATGGCCAGAAGACGAGAAATGGAGGCAGACCGTACTCAAGCCTTTGACGAGACGAATTCCTCTATTGATTTTGATTTGAATGACACTTTCTTATCTGACCTTGATGGCACTCAAACAAGCATGGAACCACACAATATCAAGAAGCAAGAGAAGAAAGAACTGTTACCAAAATTTGGTGGTGAGGATGATGAGTTGCATCCACTAGTTAGCCAAGGCAAGGACATCCTCAGCCGAGAACATTTACTCTCCGAACAACATAAAGACCCAGAAATCATTCAACTTAGTAAGAGGGCACTTCCACCAGAAGAGGCTACTAAAGTTGGAGAATGCTTCTATATGAAAGATGGCATCCTTATGCGAAAATGGCGACCACCTGATGCTTCTCCAGATGAAGTGGGGCGTGTTGTTCACCAGATAGTGGTCCCAGCTGCTTATCGTCGAGATGTCATGAGTTTAGCTCACGATACACCTATGGCTGGTCATTTAGGTATCAATAAGACTTATAATAGGATTTTGAGTCATTTTTATTGGCCTGGGCTAAGAAAGGATGTTTCGAAGTTTTGCAAGTCATGCCATGTCTGTCAGATGGTAGGTAAACCAAATCAGAAGATACCATCTGCTCCTCTCCAACCCATTCCAGCTTTTGAATAACCGTTTAGTCGAGTATTAGTGGATTGTGTAGGACCTTTGCCTAGGACCAGATCTGGAAACCAGTATTTACTTACCATTATGTGTACATCCACTCGATTTCCTGAAGCCATACCTCTAAGGAATATAAAGGCAAAGAGCATAGTTAAGGCCCTAACCAAGTGTTTCAGTTTTGTAGGAGCACCCAAGGCAATTCAGTCGGATCAAGGCTCAAATTTTATGTCGGGGTTGTTCCAGCAAGTCATGCATGAGTTGGGTATAAGGCAATATAGATCAACTGCTTATCATCCTGAGTCCCAGGGAGCGCTAGAACGTTTTCATCAAACCCTAAAAACAATGCTGAAGACCTATTGTTACCAATATGAAAAAGACTGGGACGAAGGGGTTCATCTTGTGCTGTTTGCTGCACGAGAAGCAGTCCAGGAGTCTCTTGGGTTCAGTCCTTTTGAATTGGTGTTCGGACATACAGTTAGAGGTCCTTTGAAATTGTTGAAGGAAAAGTGGCTGACTGAGACTGGTGATCTTAATCTTTTAGATTATGTGTCTGATTTCAAAGAAAAACTTTACAATGCTTGTAAATTAGCACAAGAAAATTTGAAGAATTCTCAGATGAAAATGAAAATGTGGTATGACAAAGATGCCAGAAATAGGGTGTTTAAGCCAGGTGATAAGGTTCTTGTATTTTTACCTATTCCTGGTCATCCTTTACAGGCCAGATTTTATGGCCCTTATGAAATTGAAAGCAAGATCAGTGATGTAAACTATGTAGTTAAGACACCAGGTCGACGTAAAGATAAACGTGTTTGTCACATTAACATGTTAAAAGAGTATTTTGAAAGGTGTGACCGATAGTTCCGTAAAACCAGTTTCCACTTTAGCCAATGCTAAGACTGTTCAAAATTGTATTGAAAGTGATACGAGTGTAGAAATGAATGAGAAAGATTGTAATCAGAGTGT